AATAGTTCAGAATAGCTTGGAGAGTGATCACCACACCCTGTTTCACAAATAAGAAAATTGGATTCTCACCTCTTTCAATAGCATTGATCCCCCAAGCCCACCAGGCAGGGCTGGCCCTGCTGTCTTGAACTGTGGTCCTCTGCCGCAGGAGTCACAGAAAAGTTCAGATATTGGGATGGCCACTTCTTATACATGTGTCTCTGTCCCCCAGAGAACCCTGTTAATGAGGGTATTCATTGCAGTGTTTAGAACCAAAACAGTTTAGACATAACCAGATAATCCTGCAAAGGGGGCCGGTCAAACAAATGATCATACATCCTTACCATGGAAGTTGGTGTGCCATGGAGAATGGTGACACATAGCACTTACCATGTACAGTCACTGCTCTAAGTACCATATGCACCTTGATCTGATCCTCACAACAACCCTATGAAGTGGAGATTATTACTGATGTCATATTACAAATTAGAAAACTGGCACAGAGCAGTTCAGTTCTTTGCCTAAAGTCACACAGTAAGAGATTCGAACTCAGGTTCAAACTCAGAAATTCTGGCATCAGTGCATGGGTTCTTAGCCACCGTGATATAGTGTTATAGAAAGATTTTCAGGACTTGGAAATTACTTATGATATACTGTTCATGAAAGAAGAAAGTTACCAAACAGTATGTGCTGTATAATCCTATTTCTATTGGAGAAGAAACAAGGCGTAAATTCACATGAATAGGAAAAAAAATCTGAAAAATATACAAAAAGAAGTAGAACTGGTTTTTGGAGATGTTGAAATCATGAGTGCTTTATGTGAACTTTATGCACATCTGCGCTTTCAGAGTTTTCTACACTAAGCATGCCAACCTTTGCAATAATAATTACTAACATTTATGGAGAATTTTCCACACATCTGACACTTTTGTGCACTTTCTCATTTACTCTTCACAGTCAGGCACCTGGGTGGCTCAGTTGGTTAGGTGCCTGACTCTTGATTTTGGCTCAGGCCATGATTTTGGGGGTCATGGGATTGAGCCCCACATCAGGCTCCGCACTGGTGGGGAGCCTACTTGAAGATTCTCTCCCCCTGCCCCTCCCCCCACTGGCATGCATTCTTTCTCTCAAATAAATAAATCTTAAAAAAAAAATCTTCACAACCACACTATGAGATTGACAACAAGTTTCCCTACTTCATAGGTGAGGAAACAGAGATATTGGTCATCATACCCAGGTTCACGTAGCTAATAATTTTTGGAGTCAGCATTTGAACCCAGACTGCCTGACTTCAAAGCTCATGTTTGTTGAATGAATGACTGACTGACTTAGCCACACTTTAACCAGGCATGCCCAGAGCAGGATCATACTCTTAGTGTGGACAAAATTCCAGCGAGAGGATGGAGGACCCACCTCCCTCCTGCTTGCTGCCCATGACCGAGCTTTACAATGCTTGACTCAGATGAGGAGGGCATAGTGAGCATTCTCATGGAGTCCCATTTTTACAGAAAATGCATGATTATGTGTGAATTCTGACTCCCTGACTTGATTCATCACACCTGGAGGAAGCCTGGTCACTTAGAATACCACAGACATGGCACCACTCACCCACCTTCAATTCTAGAACCCAGCTGCCACTCATGCTTATGTATTCTTGTATTTGCAATAACTCTGTGAGGAAAGTAGAGCAGCTCATCTTATTTGACTCATAAGGAAATTGAGACTGTGAGTAGTTTACTAAATGGAAGGTGGAAAGGCAAAGTAGTTGACAGCATAAGCTGTGGCGTCAGATGAATGTGGGTTGGGTCCCACCCCTAGCATTTATTAGCTGTGTGATATTGAGCACTCACATCACCTCTCTGAGCAGAAGCTTCCTCATCTGTAAGACAGAATGACTGTGCCTGTACTCACAGGCTAGAGGGGAAAAGTAGATGGAATAAAGTATGCAAAATGCTTGGTCTGGTGCTTGGCATTCCAGAAATGGCAGCTATTATTTATTCAACAAATATTTAGGGGCACCAGGGTGGCTCAGTTGGTTAAGTGCCTACCTTTGGCTCAGGTCATGATCCCATAGGTTCTGGATTGAATCCTGGGTTGGGCTCTCTGCTCCGAGGGGAGTCTGCTTCTTTTCCCCCTGTGCGCTATCTCTCAAACAAATAAATAAAATCTTTTAAAAAATATTTATTGATGACCTACTATGGATGGAGCACTAGGTGCTGAGATTCAAGAGTCAAAAGTCCCTAGTCTTCTGTTGCTTGGCTCTGAGAAGGAGAAGGCGGGGGCAGTTATCTGGCAGGAGGAGGGTTTCAGGCAGAGGGAGCAGCAGGTGCACACAGTGCTTTCCCCAACATTTTATTATGAAAAGTTTCTAACATATGCCGAAGAAGTTGAAAGAATTATATAATGAAAAGCCATTTATCTCCCACCTAGATTCAATAATGAACATTTAACCATATTTGTTTTGTGACGTATCTGCCCTAGATCCCCTGTGCTTTCTTGTACCAGGTGAGCTGCCTTGATGATTTAGAGACAGAATATTTGGAACAATAGTCAGAAAACAGTCAGAAAACTCTTTTGCAAGAGTCAGAGGGGAAGGAAGAACATTCCCCTTTTGACAAATCTGTTGGGAGAGGCCAAGTGTGGGGGACACCTCCCTTTATTAAAGAGAGCCTGTTTGGCAAGGAGCTTGGCCCTCTTGCCAAGCAGTGAGTCCCTCGGTGGGGCAGGAGCAAACTGCACAGGGGTTTCTGGTGTTGTGGAACCAGCTGCCACCCACATTGAGCTTGCCATGGGTGAACACAACCATCAGGGGACTCTGGGCACAGGGCCTGGCAGCGACCAGAAATCTTTGGTGTTCATCTGCCTGACATTTGGTCCCCCTGGGCAGGTGAGTCCAGCTGCCTGGTTTACAAGGTGCTGGTACAGAACCCAGGTCAGCGAGGGTCACGCTTATCTATCCTTGGCGCAGGGGAGACCCTCCTTATAGAAACCCACTTATTAAGAAGTGCTGATGGCCAGAAATCAGAACCGGGAGGTGACCACGAGGGAATGGAAACTTCTATCTCTGATATCTCTAGGGGTCAGGGCACCTTCTCTCCATCGTTACTGTTGAGGTGGCAGAGGGTTGGGGATCCTACGTTCCTAGATTTGGAAGTAGTTAAACACCCAATTGCACAATCTGGGCTTTATGTCTGGGTTGAATCCCAGTTCTACTACTTCCCAGTCCTGTCCCCTTGGGCAAGTCTTGTAACCCTTCTGCACCTCGGGTGCCTCCTTTGTAGTATAAGGCTAATCCTAACCATCTCACAGGGTCATTAATGAAGAGTGCCTAGAACAGGGCCTAGCAATGCTACGTGCTTGGTACGTGTTAGCTCAGGAAAATGTCTAAAGCAAAAAAGAACTGGTGTCAGTGGTGTGCAACCATCTTTTCCCCCGTGCATGCATTAAAAGATATTGTTTTTATTATTTTTTTACAAAAGTGGGAACATACTCTTTTCCAGCCAATAGTATATCCTCACTGTCACTTTTGATAAATCTTAAAAACATTTTCCTCCGGATTTTCCAAATCCATTCAGGACCATGATACTGGTGGCAAGATGTATGTCCAGTAGTTTATTTGCCAATCCCCTACTACTGGACACTTAAGTTACTTTCAGTTTTTTTCCTTCTGCAAATAAAACTGCGCTGAGCAAGATGTCAACTGTATGACTTTGGGTATGGCCTTGTGGGTGTGAGTTTCTTCATCTAAAAACAACTTGACAAGATTCTTCTGGATGATTAAAATCTCCTGCAAACCGCCTATGAATCACTTCCAAGGCATCGCTGACAAGTAACCATCAGCTTCTGTTTGCATTCTGCTAGTGACAGGGGTGCTCACTACCTCATGAGCTGGACAGCTGTAATGGCCAATAAAGTATCCACCCATGCTGGACCAAAATCTACCTCCTTGCAACTCCTAGTCTAGTTTTATTATCTGAGGCCCCATAAATCCAGTCTATACTCAGTGGCCAATGGCTGGGGCCAGTGTAGAAGATAAGAAAATTTCAATTCCTTCCTTCCTTCCTTCCTTCCTTCCTTCCTTCCTTCCTTCCTTCCTTCCTTCTTATTACAGATCAGATCTTCTGCTAGGCACATGGATGTGGGCTAAGGAAGTTAGCTGCAGGGTCCCTAGGTGTCCTAAATCCCATTTCAAGGGACTATCCACTGCTGGGAGACAGGGTACTGAAGCTGGTGGCCTGTCTCAAATGCACTACTAGTACTCAGGCCCAAGGCAGAGGAGGTGACCAGAGCTGGAGACAACTACGGCCTCGGGCTGGAGCATGACTCCACCAGGTTTTTACTAGAGCTGAACCCAGGCCTCCTTTCTTTTCCCCCACCTACCCTTAAAAGATTTAGAAACAAGTAGATTTAAATACTGATTCAAATATAAATAATTTCAACAGTGTGACTCTGAGGAGTTAGGTCCCCATGGGCTCTGTCTGTATCTTCCTTGGGGCTTAGTGTTGTTCTTTGCCTTCATTCCTTCATTCCTTCATTCTCATTCAATGCATCCTTATTATGAGCTCACTGGATAAGGTTTTATAGAGAAATTTTGCCACACCAAAGCCCTTGCTGCCTCGTTTGTAAAATGAGAGTATCGATCCATTGTCTACCTTACAGGGAATGGTGAGGATAAACTGAAGTAATGAGCAAAGGCGGGGTATTATATTCGGGTGCCCAGTGAATGGATGCCCTCTTTTAAGCTGCACACAGTGCCTGTTATAGTAGCAATGCAGCAACTACTTGTTGAATGAACAAATATGTGAGTGATTGAATGAATGAAGAAAAATGCATTTCTTCCCCCTCCCTGACATAGTCCCTTTGCTCCTGTGTTAACTCCATAGACAGGCCAGCAGAGCCAGCCTTGCAGCCTGAGATAAGGCTTTTGGCGGGTGTCTTCCCTATCACTCCCTTGAGGAGGGGTGGGGGCAGAGGGGTGATGCCTGAGGCTGGTGGAAGTGGCACACGGAGACCGACACAGGATGGGCTCTAAGTACCCACCGTCTGTGCGGGGCTGCCTTCCCCTGTGGACAATAGCACTAGAGTTGGCTTTCTTGGTCATCTTCTTCTTTTTCACCTCCTATGACACTTCTTCACAGGATCCGAAGGAGCTCATGGGGATCTATCGAGGTGAGTGTCTGGAGGGGAAGTGGTCACAGAGGCAAATAGGAGGAACCAGGGAAGAGGAGATCTATGGTCCTCCAGGGGCCAATATGTTCCTTTCCATAAAGTGTCTGAGTAAATGGGTTCCCACATCTCCTTCCATAGGTTGTGCAGAGACCCAGCCAACAACATAGGCTCCCCTTTAGGTCTGGCATGGATATCTCCTCTTTCATGAAGCCTTCCTTGATTTGTCAGGGCAGTGAGGGGCCTCCTATTCGGTATTTCTAGAATTTCCTTTGCCAAATGGTCTTCATAAGTCTCTGCTTCTCTGTCTTCTCCTCCCCATTCTCCTTAACAGCAAGGAATTTCACATTGTTTGGCCTTTTTTGTTTCCTTTTTTTGGTCTCTCTTGCTCATTTTCTGTACCACCCTTCTTTGAGTAGCTTTAGTCTGTTGCCCCTCCCCCGCCCCCAGCCGCCTTCTCACTTATTGGCTGGGAAGTCTACATTCTGTCTGCAAATCCAGAGCCATAAGGTATATGGCTGGAGAGGAGTAGAAGATGGTTGTTATTTTACATGCAGCTAAAAATATTCACAGACTGTGATGAGCACAATTGTAAACAAGACGGACGTCCACAGTGGCGCGGCTTTTGCTTTTTTTTTTTTTTTTTTTTTTTTTTAAACTGGGATGAGTTTCAAGCATCTCAGTGAGCCAATATCTTATCTGTGATAATGGATAGGCCTCCTTGAGCATCCTCCCTGATTCAAAGCTGAAGCTCCAGTCTGGTTGAGTGCCGGCTTCTTCCTGAGTGATGTTAATTGACTAGCTGGCTGAGAGAAAAAAAAAAAAAAAAAAAGCAAGAAAGACATCTCTGGGCCCTCCGTGGCAGTAAGCAGGACAGAGATGAGTTGGGGAGGGAAGCCTCTACAGCACTTCAGGGTCTGACCCAGAGAGGGGCCCTTAGCGCTTGGTGAGCAAGGCCAAACACAATTTAAGTTCATTTCGGTTTACTTTAATTCTTTTCAGTCTAATACAACGTAATTCAATGTATGCATTCACCCATGCATGTATTCATTCAACTCTGTATTACTTCCAGTGTGGGATCGAGACACATGCTAATTCGAACTAATATTTATTGAGCTCTTACTATGTGCAGGCACTATTTAAATACTTTACATTGAACCCTCACAATAATTCCACGAGGTAGGAACGATTATGATCTCTGTTTTTCATGTAAGGAAATTAGCCACATGGACGTTGAATAATTTGCACAAGGTCACTCAGCTAATTTAAATGCACTCTGCCTGGTTTTCTTTTCCATGCACTTAACCACTATGCTTCACTGCCCCATTTTACAGTGAGGTTGAGTCACTTATAACCAGTGGGTGTAGGAGCCAGTATTTCAACTCTGTAGGTTGGTGCCAGGGTCCACATTCTTCATCCCTATGCTGTGCTGCTAGCACAGAAATAAAGTGTCCTCAGACAGGGGATCCCTGGGTGGCACAGCGGTTTGGTGCCTGCCTTTGGCCCAGGGCGCGATCCTGGAGACCCGGGATCGAGTCCCATGTCGGGCTCCCGGTGCATGGAGCCTGCTTCTCCCTCTGCCTGTGTCTCTGCCTCTCTTTCTCTCTCTCTCTGTGACTATCATAAATAAATAAATTAAAAATTAAAAAAAAAAAGTGTCCTCAGACACTCACTTAACATGGAAGTACAGAGGAAGGCCTACAACCCAGGCAGGGGAGTTGATGGAGTCAGGGCAGGCTTCTGGAAGGAAGTGACTGACCAACCAGGTCTCCGAGGCTCGGTAGGACTTAACCATGTGGAAACGGGTCATCATCCAGAGTGGGAGGACAGCAAGAGCTGGTGTGTGCACTCATTGCAGTGGACCAGGTTAGCGCTTAACATTGCAACGTGAGAGTGCAAAGAAGGCAGTAGGGCATGGTGGACCCACTGGGTTGAGTAAGGAGTCTGACCTTCATGCTGCTGACCTAATAGGAAGCAAGGATGTGCCGAATTTGGGTTCAGGTTATGGAGAAAGCCATTCCATGGCTAGTGTAGGGATAGGGAAGGGGCCATGACTTGAGGTGGAAGACTGGTGTGCAGGCTTGTGTGTAGTATGGACCAGAGGGCTTCAAGCACTTCTGATCATGCACACCATTTTTCAAGCATGCACCATATTTACATGTTATAATCAGGTACTGCTGCATTAATATATTTTATACATTATAATAATACATACACACAAATTAGAAAATTTGAAAGAGGTCAGTATTTTCAAATTAGTGATCATGATGGTGCCAATCAATCTCAAGGCAAGGTCCATTGTTCCCATTACTAAGTGCATGTCAATCCATTCCTAAAGTCCTCTTGATAACTTCAAATACTCCTGGTTGACTTCTTGTCAGATATAATTCAACTGACTTTTTTTAATCTTGAATGTGACGGATGAAGAATTTGCACAAGAAATATCACTCTGCCTTTTTTTTTCATATGCTTGGCTGCCATTATGGTTTTGCCTTCATTCTGTGGTTTTAGGCAGGAGTTGTTCCAGCTATTAGTTCATTTTGTGAAGATTAGTTGAGCTAAAACTAGGTAATCTAATCTGTCAATTCACTTAACTTAATCTAATCCAGTCCATGGGAACTCAACATTAATCAAACCAGCCAATTCCAAAAAGACATTTTTAAGGCAATCAGTGTCAATCCTGTATGATATACAGGGATTGTTGTTAGTTTTGTTAAGTCTGATAATAGTTTTTTTAAGTCTTTTTTTTTTTTTTTTTAAGCCTCTAGCTGCTAGAGAGGATTGAAATGAAGCAATGTCTGGGGCTTGCATTATGCAGAAAAAAAAAGGAAAGAAATGAAAAGGATAATAAAAAACAGATCAGCCCCGTGTGCCAGTCATCAAAGCTGGGAATGGGTGTATGACATTCACCATGCAACTCTCTCTGCTTCTGTATATGCTTAACGTTTTTCCATAATAAAGAATTCAATTTAAAACAAAAAGCAAAACAAAACCCTCCCATTCATTGCAATGTGATGAGTATGGAGAAACAAGTCACCCTCTTCCCACTGGCCCAGTATTCCCTCAGGACACCTTCCAAAGCTGGGAGACTAGAAGCCATCTGACATCCTGAGCAAGCAGAGGAGGCTCCTGGGTCAACATTGATCTTAATTACTTGCAGAGCTGCAAACTTCACCAAGGGCCTTTGGAGGTGGATCGCCTAGATTCTTGGTTCTCAAAGTCTGGTCCCCAGACTATTCATCTCAGCCACTAACAGTTCAGGAACGTGTTAGAAATGCAGATTCCCAGGCCCTAGTCTACACCTATGTTAGAAATGTTCAGGGTGGGGCTGAGCAAACTGTGTTTTACCAAGCCCTCTAAGTGGCTTTTACATATATGAGAGTTTGAGAAGTGTTGGAGCCAGACTGATTCAAACCCTGCCTCTGCCCCTTCTTAGCTTTAAGACCTTGGGCAAGTTATTCAATCTCTCTCTGCCTCCATTTCAACCTGGGTCACATGACACTAGTACTTATTCAATTTGCTGTTGAAAGGTTTGAAAGAATGAACACAAGACTGATTAAGAGTATTCACTTTCATTATTAATAAACTTTAATTTCTTATATTTTCATAAAAACAAAACTAGAAGGGCTAATATCTTCTTCCAGCAGCCCCTCTAGATTGTCTGGAGCATCTTCTGAGGTGTGTGTTTTCTAAGCTGATGACCACTGGTCCACATGGCCAGAAGCCAAATGGGCAGGGACAGTGAAGGAGAAGCAAAGAGTCAAAATATTCAGGAAGGAGCTGGATCAAATGAGCTGTACCTGGTGAAAGTGGAGGAGGGGTTAAGGATGGCTTTGGAGACGTGCTTTGGTATATGGAAGTACCAATTCCTGAGACGAAAAGCACAAGGGAAGGAACAGGTTGGGGGGCAGTGTTGGCAAATGAACAATGATATATTCATTCTGGGCTTGGGCTGAGGTGCCTATGAGATATTTAGGAGAAGCAGAGTGTATCAACTATCTATTACTGCATAACAAGCCACCCCCAAACTTCATGACCGAAAATAGGAACCATTTAATTTGTTCGTGATCATGATTAAGTGGTTCGGCAAAAGATTTGTTGCAGTAAAGGGGGGTAAGTTAGCCCCAGCAAGTGGGTGTTTTCAAACCTCTGCTTGTACCATGTTGACTAATGTCACATTGGCCCAAGCAAATCACAAGGCCCAGCCCAGGCGGGAGGGGTCTATACTAGAAGGCATGATTCATGGGGAGCCATTACTCCCCAATCTGTACACAGAACCTGCTCTAGGATTTCCAAATTGGGGAACTATCCTGTGGGTACTACCCAGCTCCCCTCCCCCTACTCCCCAAAGGGAGGGGAGCTACCAAAGACAAGAGGGGTTTTTCCACTGACCTGTACATACAAACCCTCAAACCCTACAATGCTCCACATCTTAGTCTTGGCTGCCTCCTTTGATTGGAAAATCTCTTTTTCTATTCCTAGGATGCTGTAGGGGTGAAGGTAGGGTGGGGGTAGAGGCTATTGGGAGCAGAAGTCAGCATGGGGCTCTATGGGTGGTCCCAGTGTGGGACTACAGAGATCTTCCTGGTCAGCAGTGGGGAAAACAGTGTGGAAGTCGAGCCCAAAGCCTAAGGGACAGAAGCTGGTTCTGGCTTCAGAGCTGTTGCTGCTGAAGGGTTTATGGGCCAGAGGAAGGAGCAAAGGTGGATGGGAACACAGAACTAGAATCACAGGGGCAGCTAGGCCAGAGGAGGTCTTGCCCAAAGTCATACAACCAATAAGTGGTAGGCACAAGACAATGGTGTCTAACACTGTGTATCCAATGCTAGGCTAAGTGATTTGCATGAGTCAGTGAAAATGTTCATGATGGTCTCCTGAGCAGGTGCCATTGTTTCATACTCATTTTACAGATTAGGAAGCTGGGACACAGAGGTAGAGCCCTGCTTTGAACCCTGACAACCTGACTCAAAGTCCATAGTCTTTCCCATTATACCATGTGTGCTATGTGGAGAGGCACAGTGCATTGTGGTTAAACAATGCATGGTTGGGATTCAGATCACTCACCATTTGCTACCTGTGTGACCTGACCTAGTTACAGAGTCTCTCTGTGCCTCCCTTTCCTATCTGTAGAAGGTGGATAATAAATAGTACCTACTACTGAGGTTGTTGTAGGTTAAAGCCACAGGGCACTTAGAATGGTGCCTGGTGTGTGGAGGGGACCACACATGTGCCTGCTGTTACGGTGCTGGTCATTATCATCTCCTCTCACACCACTGGACTCTCAGGTTAGACTCTTCCTGCAAGTCATGGGGCTTTCATGAGATTCTCCTAAAGGCCTATCTTAGACTGTAGAATTCCTCTCTGGGGCCCAGTCCTTGGGGCCCCTGGAGCACATCCACTCCTTATCACCCCTGAACACCTTCGAGTCCATTAGCCTATCTGCCGAGCAACTGATGTGGGGTGCAGTGCAGAATCTGAGAGGTGGAGGCTAGCGCCACGAGGGGTGCCCTGAGCTGGGACCTGACCCTGATGTGGGGGCCCTGGGAGAGAGACCTAGGAAGAGTTGGAGGGGAGCCTAGAGCTCTGGGGGGTGGGGGGGTGGGCAGGAGAGGAAGTAGGATGATGCAGAGAGTGAAGAGAGGCCTGAAATCTAATGTTATTGACTCATCCATTTGGGGCAAATGGATTCTGTCAACAGCTCCCAGAAACTGCCACCCTAAAAAAAAAAAAAAAAAAAAGAAACTGCCACCCTGACTTCACCCCACTGGGTGAAGTACAACTTCTCTTTGGGGCCCATGTGGGGCCTTGAGGAGGAAGGGCCTGACTCCTACACCTGGCAGCAGTGGTGGGGATGGCATCTGTGCCTGATAAAGCTCCCACCCAAGATCCTCTGACTCTCTAATCTTTAGGGCCCCACGTCTGCCCTATCCTGGTTACCCTCCTCTCCCCACTCTCTCTCCTCTCCGCAGAATATGTCAGAGCTGTAAGAGCCTTAGAGAATAGCAAGTACAACTCCTACATATTTACAGAGAGAAAAATTGAGGCCCAAAGAGCAGGGGACCAGCTTGGGGTCCCTTAGAGCAAGAAATAGCCAAGCCTGGTGAGAGAGCACTGTATCTGGAGTTCAGAGCTTGGCTCTGCTGTTAGCACATGCTGTGTGGCCTTGAGGAAGTCACAGGCTCTCTCTGATCTTCTGTAAAATGGGAGGAAAGTGAAAGAGTCTCCCTATTCACGGGATCTTCAGTAAGTCTGGACCCTACGCGTATGGCGTTGCCACTAGATGACAGATGTGTTTGGTTTAAGTAGGATTTACTAGAAGATTGAACCAGAATATCGATAGTTGGGTGTACAGTCTCCGGTTGGCCACAGGCCTTACCACTCCCAAATATGCATTGTTCCTTTCTTTTTTTTTTTTTTAATTTTTATTTATTTATGATAGTCACAGAGAGAAAGAGAGGCAGAGACACAGGCAGAGGGAGAAGCAGGCTCCATGCACCGGGAGCCCGATGTGGGATTCGATCCCGGGTCTCCAGGATCGCGCCCTGGGCCAAAGGCAGGCGCCAAACCGCTGCGCCACCCAGGGATCCCGCATTGTTCCTTTCAAACACATAGTTCCGTGCTTGGCTCCTGAAGGAATCTATACAAAAATGTGCCCTGTCTCCCCCACACCTAGGAGGATGTAAGTAGGAGACAGAAACATTGCCTCAGCCTCCTTCTCCCCCGTGGCAGTGAAGAAGGGACAAGAAGTTGAATCAATGCCATTTGTCACCCCCTCCCCAAGTTCCCAGACCCCTTGGAGGTCCTTGGGGGTCTTCAACATCCTGGTGGGATTAGATTGTTTGGGGAACGTCAATATTCCCCCCAAGTCTCACATGTAAGGCCCCATGCATTTCTCCATGAAGGTGAATTTAAATGTGACTTGAAGGGGCTTTCTAAGACTTTGGAGAGTTCTGGAAGCCAGTGCTCCCTTGTCATCAGAGCCAGGGCCGGAGGCCAGCGGAGACCAGGGGGATTCTTATTACTGTGATGGCGAAAATGGTGACGATAGGAGGGGAATAGCCACCATTTAGGAGCGTCCTCCCTGCGCCAGGCACTGTGCCACGACTCAACAAATCATCACTTCCTTCAGTTCCCCCGGCCCCTTCTGAGGCGGGCACAGTTGTCCTTATTTAGCTGATGAGGAAGGTAAGCAACGAACAAGACCACACAGCTATGAGATTGAGGTATATAAAGTGCCATTTTGGGGGAACCTGGGTGGCTCAGTGGTTGAGTGTCTGCCTTCAGCTCAGGTCATGATTCCAGGGTCCTGGGATCGAGTCTTGCATTGGACTCCCCGCAGGGAGCCTGTTCTCCCTCTGCCCTTGTTTCTGCCTCTCTCTATGTGTCTCTCATGAATAAATAAATAAAATATTTTGAAAAGCAGCATTTTTGTAGGTCAAAAATTGTCAAATGTTGGCAATTTTAATATGGTTTAACTTAATGGGGAAGAGCAGAGCTGGGAGCAAACGGAACTGTCTGAGCTTGAAGTCTGGGCTGTTGTGTGTGTGTGTGTGTGTGTGTGTGTGTGTGTGTGTTGCTTGTTTTTGTTTACTGTCTGCATGCTGGTTGTAGAAAATTTGAACACCGAGAAAAAAGTGAAATCCTCCCAGTATTAGCTCATCCTATCCTTGCCACAACCCTTCCTGGTATGTTTTCTCCCATTATTCAGATGACAAGACTGAGGCTCAAAGAGGCCAAGTAACTTGCCAGAGTACTCATAATGATCCCTTCCAGCTGCCATCCATAAATTCATACAGAGTATATGTAAATTCTAATTCTGTAGGTTCTGTAAATTCTAATTTCACACAACTTTCTATCTTGTCTGCTTCTCTTTCTCCTTCTCCATATCTGCCCCTGGGCAGTCCTCCAGGATGTGACCATCATGGCTGCCCTTGGCTTTGGCTTCCTCAACTCATCTTTGCGGAGATATGGCTGGAGCAGTGTGGCCTTCAACCTCTTTTTGCTGGCCCTGGGGGTGCAGTGGGCAGTCCTGATGGATGGCTTCCTGGAATGGTCCTTCTATAAGAAGGTGATCATCAAACTGTCCAGGTAACCAGATGGAGGGTGGATTTATTTTTGGGGGGTCCTTGAGGGTATGTGGCCCAAGAAGGCTGGTTCTAGAAGAGCTGGGATTGTCTCCTTGAAGCCATGTGATATTGAGGATAAGCGCTAACAAATTATTCACTGTTTCTCTAAAATTCAAATTGCATTGGGAATCCTATATTTTATCTGACAGCCCTGAACCTGGATCTACAGCCCTCTCCAAGTTCTTTCTTCATTATTGAGCATGATTTTATCAAGTTACACAAGCAATATGGGTTTAAAGAAAACTAATAGAGATTACAGAAAAGAAATAGAAATGTCACAGTCTCTTGAAAACAAAGTTCTCTTAGTCCTCAAATGTCACCAAACAAAAAATAGCCATGCCTTTAAATTAACTTTGATCCATTTACATGCATTTATATGAAATTCTAAAAACTAGCAAAATTACCCATATTGCTAGAAGTCAGAATAATGTTTACAAGAGGAAAGTGATCGCTATTGATGAGGAGGGAGCACAAAAGAACCTTATGAGGCACAGTAAATGTTCTCAGTGTTATCCTGGGTGATGGTTACACAAGGGGAGATATATATATCATGGAGCACCTGGCTGGCTCGGTTGGTAGAGCAAGAGATCTGTTGGGCATGGAGCCTCGTTAAAAAAAAAAAAAAAGACAAAAATTAAAAAAAAAAAAAGAAGATAAAGGCATTAGCACTTGACAGGAGAAAACTCGATAAAATTTACCCTGTTATTTTTTGCTTTTGCCCAACTCTAAATCTCTGTCCGGTCCAGATGATGGTAAATCCCATCTTAGGACTCTTGGGAAACCAGTCACCTCTCCAGGCCACTCCATCCTCCCCTCTGAACCCCTGCTAAATCTCTGGGCACTGCTATTGACCACCTCCCCACATGGTACCGGGCAGTGCACAAACATTATTTTGCTTAACCCTTCCAGTAGGGGTCTAACTGGTGTACACCAAGGACATCGAGGCTCAGAGAGTATAAGGTATTTGCTGAGGGTCACACAGCTAAGTGGTGGAAATGGCTTTAGCTGTTTACTATCTGCAACCCTTCCTACACCCTCCAGGGTGGTTATGACAAGAACCATAGCTCAGTCAGTCTCCTATTGTCCCTGAAAAAAACCTTCACATTTTTTCTTCTAACAAGATTTATTTATTTATTTATTTATTTATTTATTTATTTATTTATTTATTTATTTATTTATGAGAGACATAGAGAGGCAGAGACATAGGCAGAGGGAGAAGCAGGCTCCATGCAGGGAGCCCAATGTGGAACTCGATCCCAGGACCCCAGGATCATGCCCTGAGCTCAAGGCAGATGCTCAACCACTGAGCCTCTCTTCTAACAAGTTTCAGAGCTAATCCCCATGGGGATTCAATACCCATCCTGCCACCCCCACCCACCCCCACCCACCCCCAAGAAACACCTGGGAAGAGGCAAAGTGCACTCTCTGGAGGAGTTCTGACAGTGGTGGCCCTGACCGGACATTCCTGCTGCCTTGGCTCAAGGTCACACAAACCTCAGGCTCCTGCATCCTTAGTGCCTGGCACCTCTGGGCTGCTCCTTCTAAGGTCCCACACCCACGGGGGCCAACTTGCTCTTGACTCAATCCAGGAAGACATGATGAGGCCAATTGCAGGCTGAGTGAACTCCCCTGCCCCACCTCTGACAGCCTGGATCCTCCCAGCTGTGACCCCCGCCGGGACTGGCTTCATGGATTTGAACAATGAGCTCCTTCCTGACCTTTCCAAGGGCCTGGCTGGTTCAGGGGGCGGTGTCCAGGCCTGCCTCCCAGAGGGACTGGCCCTCCCCTTCTCCCTTGGCCTCACCCACACTGTGCAGCCTGACTTGGCACCGAATTGCCTTGAGTCACTGATGACCAGTCCCTTCGGGGGCCTGTCCTACTCAGCTTTGCCCTGTTTTCCTTGTGTAATAAAGACTTGGTAAATGGTTATTGGAACCAAAATGAAAATAAAAGGAACTCTAAAAGTTGTGATATTTTTAATGCCATATTTTGAGAGGTCCAGGAGGGCTCTCCTGGAGGATAGTAGCAATTACGAACTCTCTAACTGTGCTTGACACATAATAACTCACTTTACCCTTATGACAGCTTCATAGGCCTTGACTCTACCTTGCAGATGAGGATACTGAGGCACAGAGGGTTCAGTAACTTGCTCAAGGTCACACAGCCAGGTAGGGGCTGAGCCAGAATTCCACCCCAGGCTGGCTGGACTGGAGTCTACACCCCTGAACACTGCACTTCACTGTCTCAATACCTCCCCGGCACCAACTGGCCCCTGGGTCTGAAATCCTACCACTGGGCATGTATCCTTTTGAATTAGGGCCTTGCCAATTAAGTGAATACTCACCAAAAAGACAGAACACGGCCAGGCATGGTGAAACATTCAGTAATTTCTGGTTTGTTTTTTTTTTTTAAAGATTTATTTATTTATGATAGACAGAGAGAGAGAGAGAGAGGCAGAGGGAGGGAGAAGCAGGCAGGCTCCATGCCAGGAGCCTGACGTGGGACTTGATCCCAGGGCTCCAGGATCACGCCCTGGGCCAAAGGCAGGAGCCAAACTGCTGAGCCACCCAGGGATCCCTGTAATTTCTGTTCTAAATAATTCCTGATCCCTGTGAGACTCCTTGGGTAGGCCCTTGGCCCTCTTCTGATCTCCCGTTTGAAGTCCTTGAGCCCTAAGTAAGACACTACATTGGCCGCAAATGCTGTGGAGGTTGTGTCCAGACTTCAGAGCACAGGCTTTAGATCCAGGCCACCTGGGTTTGAACCTCACATTTGTCATTCACTAACTTATTGACCAAAAGAGTCACCTCTTCTAGTTTCAGTGTCCTTTTCTGTAATGTAGGGGTACTAAACGGTACCCTAGCACCATTCATAGAGGGCCACTTAGAAGATTAAAATTTAAATGAGGTGATGAAGTTGTGAGCCTCCTATACATAATGCTTAATAAATTATCACTATTTTGTAGTGGTGGTGGTGGTGGTGGTCATAGTATCAGGGAGGGGAGGTGGTCTCAGAGCAAGGTGCCCAGAGAGGGTGGATTGGTTTAACTACCATGGATTATTCTGTTCATTGCCACCTCCCCCAGGAAGCCCTCCCTGAATCTCATTGCTCTCTTCCTCTGGTGAACCCCTCTAGCCATCATGGATAGTCTTAGCAGACAGACATGATGTCAGCCCCGCCTCCCCAACTGGATCATAAGTGCCTTGAAAACAAATTGTTTTCTCCTCCTGAATCCCCACACTGAGCTAGCTCATTTGTCAAGGAAAGGAAGGATTCAGTAGTAGTGCTAATCATGTGGGCTTCTATAGAACTCCTGAGTTAGTTCTTTGTGCCAATCATGGTGCTAGACACGGATGCACGAATATTCCTACTAATCCCCACAGCACTACCACGAGATAAATATTATCATCATTCTTATTTTACAGATGAAGAAACAGTCTCAGTGAGATTAAATAGCTGCTCAAGTGGAAACACTGGGACTGGAAGCAGGCTTGTCCTATTTCTAAGCCATCTCTTTGCACAGCCAAGCTGCTGGTGGCGGGCGGCTAAGTGGCAGGCAGGCCAGCAGGTGAAGAGCGCCCTCTATTGAGCGTCTGCGCAAAATGTAGGCGGAAGGGAAGCCAAGGGCAGACCTGTGATCAGACCCTAGAAGGGGACCCTAAGGGAAAAGTCGGCCTCTGTAACTATGACAGTCCTATGAGAAATTCAGGGTGGCCTCAGTACAGATGAGCATGTGCAGATCAATTTCTCACCCTGAAGCCACCCTGATGGGGGAAGGAGCCCGTGGAGAGCCCAGATGGGCAGCATCAGTTCCCACAAAGGTGCAATCTTGTCTCCTTGATCTTCCACTGTGTCTCTGGTTTCTCAGACAGTGCCAGGCTTGTTGAATGAGTGAATGGGTGAATAATGAATGAGAAGATCCTTTTCAATTATTTCTCTCTCTCTCTCTCTCTCTCTCTCTCTCTCTCTCTTTCTCCCCAGTATTAAGCTGGCTACCATGAGTGCCATGTCTGTGCTCATCTCAGTGGGTGCCGTTCTGGGGAAGGCCAACCTGTTGCAGTTGACTGTGATGGCACTGGTGGAGGTGACGGCCTTTGTCACCGTGAGGATGGTTGACAGGAAGTACCTCGGGGTGAGTCACGGTGCTGTGAGGAGGGGACTTTGGAGAGGAGAGGTGTGGATGTGGAGGTGGCGGATACTGCCTCCATTTGGTAGGGTTTCTGGGATTTAGAAAAATAAAGATGGGCCGAAACGGGGTTCCAAAATTGTGATCTATGCTACATGTTTAAACACAGCAACCTAATGGCTTTAATTGGAGGTAGTGCGGTCGCTGGTGAGGGCAAGGTCTAAGGTTTGACAGGCGATGTGGGTGGCAGAAACATAGGAAATAACCTAAGAAAGTTATCAGAAGAAAAAGGGTCAAGGAACAGAGGGAGGAAGTTGGATAGACAAAGATGATGTCCTGGAGGAGTGATGGAGAGAAAGATGGTAGGGCAGGTGCGGAAATCCTCAGAGACCACAAGGCAGGTGGATGGATAATCAACAAGGAGTGTAGAGTCTGCAGGCATGTCTTTCAAGGAAGATGGAGATATTTGGGGGTGGGAAAAGGCACAATGGTCTAGAACCTTTGCTTGGAAGTTATTTTTTTTTTGTTGTTTTTTTTTTGTTTTTTTTTTTTTGCTTGGAAGTTATTATTTATTAATATTTGGTTCTCTTCATCTGTCTATATGACTTTATTTTAACCCCTACTTCAGCGTGCACTTCCTATAAACAAGGGCATTCTTTTACATAACCATTTGTTCAGTTAACAAACTTTGGAAAGTAATATTAACATAATAAATATATATTGGTAAATTATTATATGTTATTAAATATATGTATTTCTTTTTGGTCCAGGATCATGTTTTGCATTCAGTTCTCATGTCTCCTTAAACCTTTTCAATCTGGAACAGTTCCTTAGTTTTTCTTTATATTTTATGAACTTGACGTGTTTTGAGGTTTTTTAATAGAATGTGGGTTTGTCTACTGTTTCCTCATGATTAGTTGAAGGGTATGCACTTCTGGCAGGAATTACACAGAAGAAGTGATGTTGTATCCTTCTCAGTGCATCATATCAAGAGCCACATGCTGTCAATTTGTCCCATTACTGAGGATGCTAACTTTGATCACCTGTTAAGTTGTTGTCTTCCAGGCTTGTCTACTTTAAAGTTGCTATTTTCCCCTTTATAATTAATAAGCATCTTATGGGGGAGATAATATTCTGTAAAATCTTGTTTCTATAAAGCTTTCATCCACTGGTTTTAGTGTCTATGGATTTTTTTTTTTTTGGCCTGAATCAGTTTGTATTATGATGATTGCCAATATTGGTTTCTTTCTCTTTTTTTTTCCCTTGGAGATTTTATTTTAGGGGCTCCTGGGTGGCTCAGTCAGTTAAGCATCTGACTTTGGCTCAATCATGATCTCAGGGCACTGGGATTGAGCCCTGCATTGCACTCCCTGCTCAGCAGGGAGTCTGCTTCTCCCTCCTCATCTACCCCCTCCCCCTGCTTGTGCTCTCTGTATGTGTCTCTCTCTCTCTCAAATAAATAAATAAAACCTTTTTTTTAAAAAAAGACTTTATTTTTAATTAGTCTCTATGCCTAACATGGGGCTCAAACCTCTAAGCCGAGATCAACTCTCACATCCTCTATGGACTGAGCCAATCATGTGCCCTCAATATTGGCTTTCTATTTCCATCTTCCCTTCCACAACCATTAGTTAGTATTCTGCTTAAGAATAAGAACTTTCTCTTCTCTTCCATCCAACCATCCATCCATCCATGCATTAAATCGTTTATTTATATATATATCGCTAAGGGCTCACCAAGTCACCTAGGCCTACTTTCATTTTCTTTTTTTTTTTTTTTTAAGATTTTATTTATTTATTCATGAAAGACAGAGAAAGGCAGAGACACAGGCAGAGGGAGAAGCAGGCTCCCTGCAGGGAGCCGGATGTGGGACTCGATCCAGGGACTCCAGGATCATGCCCTGGGCTAAAGGCAGACACTCAACTGCTGAGCCACCCAGGTGTCCCAAGACTTTCATTTTCTGTTTTTCTCTCTGTTTACCATAAGGATTAATTGCAACTCCTGGGTTTCAAGAAAGAAAGCTGCCCTGGAGCTTTTTTAGGCAGAAAGAAGAGAATTTAATAGAAGCATCACCAAGGGCAGGGGTAGTAGCCAGAGTCAGGACTGGAATTGGATATGAGAACTTTAAGATCCCAGGTAGTTCATGCTCTCCATCTTTTGGTTCTGTTCCTCTTCGTTGTACATCAGCATTCTCTTCAGTGGAGAACATGGTCTCACCTCTTCTGCTCCCAAGCTTCTAAATCCCAGATCCTGTAGGAAACAAGGCTCCTCTCTCATCAGCTGGTCCCAGGTGTCTGGTCCAGTGAGAAAGAACCTGATTGGCTCCTGGGACCATGTGTCTGCCGTGCACAGGCAGTGTGTGTGGGGGGGGGGGGCGGGTCCCACTGGGAGCATGTGACTAGTTCAGACTGCAGGTAGATTCCCAGGGATGGAATGCTTCGTTGGGCAGCAAGGGTGGCAAATGTTTTCTCTTCTTTCCTCCTCCTCCCCCTCCTTCTCCTCCTCCTCCTCTCCTCCTTCTCCTTCTTCTCTTCTCCTTCTTCTTCTCCTTCTTCTTTTTTAAATACTTTAAATAAGGATACATTCACACATTGCAGTCATGTGAACAGGAAGGTCCATGCATGTATCCTTCCCATTCTCTCATTCCATTCACAAATATTTATTCCTTGCCTATTATGAAACAGGCATCTTTTAGGCAGTGGTAAATATGCAGTGGTCGTGGACCTTCCATTTAAGAGGGAAAGATGACCAATAAGCAATCATGTAAGCAAATGATACAGCCTGCTAGTAAGTGTCAATTACTATAGAGAAAAAATATGAAGAGTTGAGAGGGGGATAAAATGTTAGATAAGGGGGCCATGGAAGGCTTCCCCTGAATAAATAATTTTGAGTAGAGACATGAAGGTAGTAAGAGCACAAGGCACGTAGGTGTCTAAGTGTCGTGGTAGGTCAAGGGCAGGGTGGTGGGAGTGGTCTCCCTCTTCCAGGAGTATTTTATGTATTTCCCACAGTTTAGAATTGTTGGCACATGGTGATAATAAAAAGCAGACAGACTTTGAATCACTTTTATTATTGTTTTAAATTCCCTCCAGACAATGCACCCCATTACTGCCTGCGCCCAGGGTAGACCACTCCCTCTGCCTCGTGTTCCAGGCCATGGGAAAGCCAGAGTGAAGTGGGCTGATGGGGGAGCATGCCCGTGAGTTTGAGGAAGAGTGAGGAGCGTGTTCCAGGAGTGGAGCAGGAAGTGAAGTCAGAGAGGTTAAGGGGGAGCGGGTCACACAGGGTTCTCCAGGTCATAGCAAGAATGTAGACTTTGAGTTGAATGCAAAAGGAACCATTGGAAGATTCTGAGCAGAGATGGCCATGAACTGCCTTAGATGTTCATAGGGTCTTTCTGGCTGCGGTGTGGAGGGGAGTCAGTAGAGGGACAAGAGCGTAAATGGGGAGACCAGTTAGAAGATTACTGCAATAATTTGGGGTAGTGGCGATGGTGGGGCTTAAATCAAGGTGGGGTCAGTGAGGCTTGGTGGTAAAAATTTGGCCAATTCTGGATATTTTTTGAAGGCAGAGTTGGTAGGACTTACCAGTAGTCCACTAAGTCAGTTACTAAAGATTACTAACTTTAATATTCATAAAGCAAAAATTAGCATGTGTCTAGAATTTACCAAAGACTTTAGTATTATAAAAAGTCTGGCTGCTTCATGCTGCAAAGTTTATGTCACTCATCACTCCATAAATTCTTTTTTTTTAATTTTTTTTATTTTTTTTTCACTCCATAAATTCTGCTGAAAAGTAGGAAGCAGTGAGGATGCATGTCCCTGTGACTTTTTGCCTTACCTAAGTAGATCTCAGCCAAAAAGCATGTAGGAGCTACTGATAAGGCCAACCAGCAACTTCCCTGGAATAAATACATGGCTGGTCCTCGGTCTCCTCTGAAAGGGGAACTTCTGGGTTGGGTAAGCTCCAAACACCAGTCTCATGACTCCAAGTCACACCTCTTAGGTGAAGTTCAGAACTGTCTCCTAGGAGCATGGGGTTAGCCTGTGGGCAGAGGCTGTAGGGACTCATTGCCCTTTGTTGCAGACGGACAACCACACCAGCATGATGTACATCCACGTGTTTGCAACCTATTTTGGGCTGATGGTGACCTGGTGCCTCTCGAGGTCTCCGCCTATTGCAGTGCTGGTAGAGAAGCATCAGACTACAAAGAACTCCAGTTTGTTTACCATGCTGGGTGAGGACAAGATGGGGTGTGGGGGTGGGTGTGGAGGTTTCTTCCCCTGGAGTAAGCGAGAGGTTCCCAAATGGCTCTGCTGAAAAGTCTCTCTCCTTTTCCAGCCTGTCCCAGGTGCTCAGAGCCCCTCCATGATGATTCATTACCCCAAGTAGTGTTGGATGGATTCACAATCCCTTCTAGGGCAACGTTCTTCATTAATATCCAAAGGAGAGGGGAGACTTGTTACCCTTACTCAATTTGCCCAATCTTTTTGTCTTCAAGTGAAGAGTGGGAACTGGACGAGTGGAGAAAGCAGAGGCCAGCAGCAGAGAGAGGGACAGGGCAGGGAAGAGAACAGTAACGCTGGTGTATTTTGCAAAGCTGCAGTGCAAACGCTGAAGCCGGGCTGCAGGAGAGGCTGAGAGGAAATCGGGCAGTGAGCTGAGCAGTAGGTGACCCACAGCCAGCCATGAGCCCAAATCAGAGTCGCACGTTACATTTTCAGAAAGCATTTGGCCATCACAAGCTGAGCTCAGGAGGCCTGGAGGTTGGTAATTTAAACTCTCTGGGCCTTTGTTTTTTTGCCTGTAAAGTATGTTAGCTGGGCCCTGTCAACCTGGGACTTCAGGGGACACACGACTGGCTCAAAGTCACATAGCTATAAAGGGACAAAGCTGTGACTTGCCCACTCCATGAAGCGCCCACAGGCTCAGGCTTTGCAGCAGGAGTGCTGGTTCTGGCCAATGACCCTCTCTGACCCCCAGGAACCCTCTTCTTGTGGATATTCTGGCCAAGTTTCAACTCTGCTCTGCTGGACATACCAAATGAAAGGAAGACTGCTGTGTTCAACACCTACTATGCTCTTGCAGTCAGCGCGGTGACAGCCATCTCAGTGTCAGCCTTGAGTCACCCCCGAGGGAAGATCAACATGGTGAGGAGGGGGCTGCCCCTTGGGCAGCACTCAGGTCTTCTAAGATGAGCACATATTCATGCCCCTGTTCCAGAACCAGCCCCCAGGGTGGGATAGAGTATGCCAGGTGACGGAGCCTTGTCTGCAGCGTCATGGATCATCAGGCAGGGACTGGCTTATCAATATGGGAACTGGAATTTGGAGACTGAAATGATCAAAAGCTCTCTGAGGGGAGTGATTAAGTCTATCAGTGTTGACACTAAAAGGACCCAAGTGTGAACCCTGTTCCTGTGAGTTACTAAAGCCAGCCACCATGAGCAAGAGTCAGCAGAGAAGATCTAGAATAGAATTAGTCAGCCTCTCCCCTTCCCCTAAGGAATTTCAAGAATGGAATGAATAGAATCGCAGGTAAAGAAGTACGTCATCACCCTAGCCACATGACCCTGGTCAAGCCACTTCAACCTTTGGAGCCACACCTGGCTCATATATAAAGTGGAAATTAAGAGACAAGGCACAGTAAGTGCTCTGTGGGGAATTAGTGCTGGGCCAACAGGAACCATGTTACTGGTGTAGCCAGGAGACTGTGTGTGTGAGTTCTGGGGGAAGAGAGACGGGGAACGGTAGTGCTAAAGACAAAACCAGTTCCCATGATGATTGGGTATGGGGCCGGCCAGCCACAGGGGGTGGGAAAAAGTCTAGAGGGATGGCAGTCCTAGAGTGGACAGCATGTGGCCATCCATGACAAGTTAATCATCAAGAGGAGTGGGTGTCTTTCTGGGCGGGGGGGGCTCCATGGTGACATGGAATCTAGGATCAGACGAGGTGGGGACATTGAGGGAGGCGGGTGTGGACAGAAGCTCAGGGAAGCCCAGAAGCTGGTCCCAGGCCTCAGAGCTCCAAGACCTGGTTAGACTTGAGAGGGCAGAGGGAAGTAGGATGGGAGCAAAGCAAGGCCCCGGTTCTAGAGGAACAAAGGACAGAGTGGAGATGGGACCTGGGAACAAGAGCTCACATATGAAAAGCTGGATCCAGGGATCCCTGGGTGGCGCAGTGGTTTGGCGCCTGCCTTTGGCCCAGGGCGCGATCCTGGAGACCCAGGATCGAATTCCACGTCGGGCTCCCGGTGCATGGAGCCTGCTTCTCCCTCTGCCTGTGTCTCTGCCTCTCTCTCTCTCTCTCTCTCTCTCTCTCATGTGACTATCATAAATAAATAAAAATTAAAAAAAATTAAAAAAGCTTTAAAAAAAAATGAAAAGCTGGATCCAGCAGTACAGGGTGGCATAGCACTGAATGGCCAATAATAATGATAAAAATAGTAAAAACAATAATACTGGCTTCTATTTCTTGAGCATTTCCTCAGGGTCCATGTTAGGCCCTTGGCTCAGAGTCATACATATAATAACTTGTTTAATCTTACAATAACCATATCAAGTAGGTACAACCTAAACCCCGTTCTTCTGGTGGAAAAGTTGAAGCATGAATGGCTCAGTGCCCAAGGACGCGTCACTGACAGGTGTGAGGGTGGCTAGGACATACTTTCAAGCTCAATACCTCCCAGTCAGGGGGACTGTTCCTGGAGTCTGAGAAGTGGAGTAAGAGAAGACCATTGAGAAAGGTCATGTCTCAGTGGGGATGGAGGAGAGGAGGGGATGGTTTCACGGTCAGCGAAGCAGGGAAGCCATATAGTGTTCCTTGCTATCAGCTTACCAGTAACTCTGGGCAAGTGCTGTCCTCTCTGTTCCTCACTTCATTTGCCCTCAAGCTATTTTTTTGCAGACTCATATCCACAACGCGGTGCTGGCTGGAGGTGTGGCCGTGGGTGCTTCGTGTCATGTGATCACTACTCCTTGGCTTGCCATGGTGCTGGGCTTTATGGCTGGACTGATCTCCATCGGGGGAGCCCTGTGCCTACGGGTAAGGACCTGGGCAGCTAACACCTGGTTTTGGCTTTGACCAGCAGGGCCCTGGAGCACGGTGGGCCATCGTGTAGTGCCATGGGCTACATCGGGCAGGCACTGACACCTTCTTAGGGAGGCTTCAAAGCTTGAGTGAGGGACCCACCCAGGTGTGTATTGTGTATTTGGTAGGATCTGGGGAGCAAGTAATAGAATCCATTCAAGTTTGCACAGGCATGGGGGGTGGGTATGGTAAGGCTATTGGCATGTCACAGAAACCAAGGACAGGGATCCTGTTGGGAACCCATGAATAGCTGACACCAGGGACAGGAGTGTTGTGGGGAGCCCAGGAAATCCCCACTCTTCTTTTTTTGTTTTTCCTGAATATCTGCTTTCTTTTCACTCTGTAGACTTCCTTCCCCTTCTCCTTCTCCTTCTCCTGCTCCTTGTGGTGGAATGTAGTCTTTCGTTTCGGGAAAGCAGCTGGATGGAATTTCTTGGCCCCATTCCCAAGTGTTCTGGAGGAGGGCCTCATTGGTTTGGCATGCTTATCTTTGGCTGGGGGTGTGGGGTCCTGGAGCATAACATACATACATGGCTGCGACCCATGAGCCATGCGAATGGGGGTAGGAGGGGCAGCAGCCCGGAAGGGGGTGCTGGGCTCAGCCAGGCCATGTCCACTTCTGATTGTGTAGTTCTTCTTCTAAGTGGGTGGACTTTTCCCCCGTCAACAACCAGCAGGTACTGATAATACCAGAATGCCCCATTATAGCCAATTTGTCATAATACACTTCTAAGGGAAATAATTATAGGGCAGCAACTCTCTGTGGGTATGAAGCCTTGGTAGAGGATATAGGAATAGACCCTTGGATGACTCAAGGAGCTGAATCTGGATGAACGATGGATATGCAGGGAGGCAGTTTTTATCCAAAACAGGGGGAAAATGTAAAAACAGTTTCATCTGACCAGCGACGGGGTGGTCTGCTTTTCATCTTTGGAATTGGAATAAACGTCTTTCATCTCCTCTGCTTTGTGGCCCTGATGATGAAAGGTGGCAGTGCACAGGGAAACCTGCATAGATTCTCAACAGGCTAGGCATCCATTGCTTTCTCTGTGCCTGTTTACTTGACTCCATCACTGGGGGAACGATTCAGAGATGATTCATTCATTCATTCATTCATTCATTCATTCATCCCTTCAATCATTCAGCAGTACGTTTTAATATGTGTCCAGCTTCCCGAGCTATAGTGTCGTGAGGGCAATGGACAAATTAACAACACAGCACGTCTAAGCGAGCCTGAGTTGGATCAGGAAATGCTTCCTGGAGCAGAGGATGTCTCAGCCGACTGTTGACAGATGACTCATATTAGCCAGGCAAAGTAAAGGGAAATGTATTCCAGACAGAAGGAACAGTGTGTTCAAAGGTTGATTGGTGAGAAAAGCAAACAGCCCAGCCAGGAAACAGATGCTAAGGGCTGGGTTCACCTGGGAGTGTGGTGGGACCACAGTCTTGAGAGATGAGAGATGGGAAATACACAGGTGTATCTCCTGAGCAGGTAGAGGAATCTGGGTTTTTATTTTGAAGCCAGTGGGGGATCCCGGGGTGGGGGGTACTAACCTGTCCAATATGCATTTGTCTCCACATTTGTTGGCTCACGGTTTTCTGGGAGGCTAAGTGGTGGTGGGGAAGGAGTACTGAAGGCGAGTCTTTTCTTCCCATTAGTCATGTTGTCTTTGGATGGCAGTTAAGTTTGGGCTAGACCAGCACGTCTCAATCACCCTCCAGGGACGTTTGACAATATCTGCAGACAGTTTTGGGTTAACACACTGTTGTGGGGTGCTAGGGTCTGGACGGTGGAGCCCAGGGGTGCCGCTACACATTCTACAATGCCCGGGACAGCCTTTTCACAACACAGAATTATCAGCCCCATGTGAGTAGGGCCTGGGCTAGACCCTTGCTTCTTGAAGGGTGGTCAGTGGGCCAGTAGCGTCGGCATCACCTAGAACTTTGTTAAAAATGCAGAATCTCAGGCCCCAGGTCCACTAAATCAGACTCTGCAGTTTCACAAGCTCCCCCGTGTGATGCAAGTACAGTCAGGTCTGAGGAGCCCTTGTGGAGGTGAGCCCCAAGGCCTACTCCCTTCTGGTGGCCCTGGATGCCAGGATCAGTGGAAAGCCTGGACAGGGAGTATCAGTCTTCCATGCACATCTGTTTGTGTGACGTTTGTTCCAGGCTTATTTTAACCGCGTGCTGGATGTCCACGACACCTGCGGCGTGCACTACACCTTTGGCTTGCCAGGTCTGCTCGGAGGGATCGTCTACATTCTGCTGACGTTCTATGAGGTCACCTGGACCAAGAATAACATGTAGGTCACTTGGCTTATCCCCCTCACACCCCATCCAACTTAGGAAGAAATGTGCCCAGAGCCCTCAGCATTCAGACCCAGGCACTCGGCAAATATTTGTTGGCAAATGCAGTAATAAATTCTACTGGGATCCCTGGGTGGCTCAACGGTTGAGCTCTGCTTGGCTCTCAGGGTGTGATCCTGGAGTCCCGGGATCGGGTCCCGCATTGGGCTCCCTGCATGGAGCCTGCTTCTCCCTCTGCCTGCATCTCTGCCTCTCTCTCTCTCTCTCTCTCTCTCTCTCTCTGTATGTGTGTGTGTGTGTCTCTCATGAATAAAATGGATAAGGTCTCTAAAAAAAATTAATTCTCCCTAGCCCCTATCTCTCCAGGCCCTGTCTCCTTTCCAAAAGGGACAGCCCAGGTACAGGGCAAAGGCAGGCAGCTCTGAGCCCCGGCCCCCAAATCAGAGCAAGTGAATCAGGCCCAAGCCAGACGGATCCCTTGTTTAACCGCTGGTGGTTTAGGTCTCAGTGAAGAGAGTGTCAAGGAATCAGACTCGTCTTGACCTCTCACTAGCTGGGCCTGCTACCTAACCTCTCTGAGCCTCACTACCTACTGTCAACGCAGGTAACCACGGCGCCTCCCCTCAATGGGTGGTTGGAGGCGGCTTGAGGGCAGGTACTTTGTGGTTAAAAAGGATTTAATACTTTAATGTAGGAAAATGCTGAGCACAGCCCATCTCTGAGGCCCAAGAGGAAAAGGGGTGAGACCAGGGGCCAGGGAACGTGCACCTGGGATCAGGCTCTAGAACACCTCTCTGAGTCTGCTCTCCCCAGGATGGGACAGTTGAGGACCAAGTATCTGTCCTCTCATCTGGGCAGGAACCCGGCAAAGGGAAGAGCAGAGCCACAGCAATGACTTCCCGCAGGGAGGCCTGTGGTTGGCTGGAAGTAAAGGGCACAGGCTTCAGGGACAGACGATCAGGGTCACACGGACCAGCCGGGTGACCTTAGGCACGGTATACTCAAACTCTCCTCAAACCTCAGTTTTGATCTGCACGCTGGGATAATAACTGATGTCCCAGGGCTGCTGTGAAGACGTGGTGTGGAGGAAACACCCGGCACATGGCCTCTTGTCTGCACGGTGGTTATTGCCACGGCTGCTTCTATATGAGAAACATCTCTGTGTACGGAAGGAGGGACAAAGGACTGAGCTGGGAGTCAGAGCACTCAATGTGACATGCGGAGAAACTACTTAATAGCTTGGTGTCCCTGGACAACACAGTTGGCTTTCCATTCGTTCCTCAGTGTTTGCTGATTTCCTCTTCAGGTGAGCAAACGTGAAGGTTTGCACGCGGTGCTCCCCAGCTGAGATGAGGCAGTGTTTCACAAATTGTGGGATTTGAGTGGTGTAAAGACACACTTAAATAACATTGAGTCATGCAGGGCCGATGCTGGTTTTCAATTATTCCGTCCTTTGATTGCATCAGGGAGAAAGTCTGCACGTGGGTGCTGGTGCTGAGTGTCTCTGAGCTTCTGACCCCTAAGGTCAGACGTAGAGGCCAGCAGAGGCAGCCTGGGGCTGAGATCTGAGACTCATGCTCAGGCTGCCTCTGGGGGAGATTTTAGCAACACTCTGTTTTCACTGTATCTTTTTACCATTACCTCCCATTTCTCTCTCATTTACACTGGTGACTCAAAGTTTCCTTTTAAATACATTTATTTTAGGGCTGCCTGGGTGGATCAGTTAAGGGTCTGCCTTCAGCTTAGGTCATGATCCCAAGAGTTCTGGGATCCAGCCCCATAAGATCAAGTCCCACATCGGGCTCTCTGCTCAGTGGAGAATCTGCTTCTCCCTCTCCCTCTGTTTCTCCTTCCGCTCATGCTCTCTCTCTCTCATACACTCCCTCTCTCAAATGAATAAACAAAATATTTTCTTAAAAAGATTTTATTGATTTATTCATGAGAGACCCAGAGAGGCAGAGGGAGAAGCAGGTTCCCTGTAGGGAGCCTGATGCAAGACTTGATCCCAGGACCCCAGGATCACGCCCTGAGCCAAAAGCAGATGCTCAACCACTGAGCCACCCAGGTGCCCCTAAATAAAATCTTTAAAAATAAATAAATAAATACATTTATTTAAGTGTAAAAAAAAAGTCCATTTAAAGAAAAATGTTTTAAAAATGAGTATCCTTGGATTGCCAATATGGCCAAATTTATGAAGGTAACCCACAAATGCTGAAATCTGGGAAAGATCTGTCTGGCCTTCGTGGGTAGACAGTATTTGAAACCCAAGAGCCACCCATGCTAAGCCAAGTGATGTTGGAGACACTGGTTCACTTTCCTAACCTGGATCTCCTCATTTGTGAAACAGGACACTAACAGCTGGCTCAGAGGGCTGCTTAGCACTCTCCTGTAGGGAGCCTGATGCTGGACTCGATCCCAGGACCCCGGGATCACAACCTGAGCCAAAGGCAAACACTCAACCATTGAGCCACCCAGGCAACCCTAGCTTCTATGCTACCATTTAATATTACTAAAAAAAAAAAAAAGTTTTTGTAGTATAATCTATATCCAGAGAAGTGCAGATATCATAAGGGTGCCAGTTGATGAATTTTTCTGACATGCCCATGTAACCAGCACCCAGAACTCCTTCATGTCCCAACCAGCACCTGACTTCTAACACTATCCATCAGTTTTGCCTACTTTTGTCCTTCCTGTACATGGAATCACACAGGGAGTCTATGCTCTCGTGTGCTGGGCTTTTCTTCTACATTGTAGCTGTCAGACTCTCCCACATTGAGTATCTCTGTAGATTGTTCATCTTTTTTTTTTTTAAGATTTTATTTACGTGAGAGAGAGCAAGCAAGAGAGAGAACACAAGCGGGGAGAAGGTAGAGAGAGAGGGAGAAGCAGACTCCTCACTGGGTCCTTGATCCCAGGACCTTGAGATCATGATCTGAGCTAAAGACAGATGTTTAGCCAAATGAGCCACCCAGGTGCCCCTAGACTGTTCATTTTCACTGGGCGAGAGCGTTGAATTGTGCTTGGGTTTACTTCATAAAGGTGACTGAGTGATGACATGGAGAGGTCCATGTCGTTGAAGGGAAAGTTTAATGTTATAGTTCTCCTGGAGATGAGAGGCACAGCACACCACGTAGGGCCCCACAAGACCTTATCATACCCCACAAGACCTTATCATACCCAGGGACCAGCAGAGAGGGGGAACTAAGACTATGCCTTCAGGTTGAAAGGGGTGGGGTAGTGCGGGTGGGAGGCAGGAGTCCCCAGTTGGGCAGGAAGTGAAAGTGTATGTTAGAATTTGTGGTTAAATGGGTTTATAATATGTATTTTACACTCCCATGAAAGCTGACTTGCTAGAGAGGGAGAGCAGTAAACAGTTTTGGCCGTTAGTTGGGCCCTGTGGTAAATGAGTGCCATGTAGACAAATACAGGATCTAAGAAACACATTTAAAATAAGTGTTTCAGTGTGTGAATACAGAACAATTTATCTATCCATTACTGATGAGCATTTGGGTTCTTTCCAGTTTGGAACGATTATGAACATTCTAGTATTGCTATGAATATTCTAGCACTTTTTTTTTTTACTTTTTTTTTTTTTTTTTTAGAACATACAAATGCAGAGTGCCTGGATGGCACGTTCAGTTAAGTGTCTGCCTTTGGCTCAGGCCATGATACGGTCCTTGGATGGAGCCCTCCATTGGGCTCTGTTCTCACCGGGCAGCCTGCTTCTCCTCCTCTCAGGCTCAGGCTCTCTGTCTCTCTCAAACAAACAAACAAACAAACAAACAAAATCTTAAGGGAAAGAAAAACATACAAATGCTCTTCTGTTCAGTAAATGCCTAGAAGCCCAATTGTTGGATCACAGCATTCATATGGTCCATTTTAGAGGATATTACCAATCTTCCACTGTAGTTTGTGTCAGTCCAATCATCCATGGCACCTAAGACTTCCCTTTACCCTATATATTTTCCGACACCCCATATTTTCATTCTTTTTGTTTATCCACTTAGGGATCAAATACCATTTTACTTTTAATTTTCCCGATGACCGATTTAAGCGGACCACTTAAAAGCGATATGCTTTTTGGACATCTGAATATCTTCTCTTGTGAAATGTCCTTTTTCTTTCTTTCTTTCTTTCTTTCTTTCTTTCTTTCTTTCTTTTTTTTTTTGCCCATTTTTCTGTTGCATGGTTCTGTCTTTTTATCGATTTGTTGAAATTCCGGATATAGAACTTTTATAGAGTCACATAAATGTATTGTGATTACCTTCTCCCATTTTGTGGGTTATCTTTCACCTTCTTAATGGTATCTTTTGATGAACGGCAGTTCTTAATTTTAATACAGTTCAGTTTGTCATTGTTCCTTTCATGTCTGTGTGTCCTATTTAAGAAATCCTTGCTTACTGCAAAGTGACAGAGATGTGCTCCTCCCAGGCCACTCCATAGTTTAAAGTGAAGTCCTGGGGGTGCCCTGAAGAGAGAGGACAGGGAAGTATGCTCAGCAGGAGGGGGTAGGGGAGATGAGCTTGACAACCATGCTCTACTCCACCTTGCCCTAATGGAAATAGAATTTGCATCTCCAATTGCCTAATGAAGGAACTTAGGGCTCGGAGAAGTTAAGTGACTTGCCCAGGATCGTGCAGCTAGTGACAGTCCTTGGACTTGAACCTGGGTTTTCTGCCTCCTGGTCAAGTTCATCACCCATAGGTTCTGAGAAATGAAGTCAGCCAAAGGGGATCCTGGAGTAACCCCCACTCTCTCCTCCATGTCTGTATGGTTTTGCAGGAACATGACAGGGGACTGTGTTACCTCAGGAGAGGACATTTGTTCTGATGGCCCTTCCTGACAGCATCACTGCTGATGCAAACAGTCCTGTTTGACCCCAATGACCTCTACAATCTGATGCCTGAATATGACTATATCCCACTTTGTCATTTCTAGGGTCTTCTTTCAGTTGCTCATTGACGCTGGGGTACTCAGCTTGGCCATGGCTTCAGGTCTGATAGCTGGTATTTTGACAGGTAAGTGTGAGACCACCTTCTTTTGCCCATGGCCCAGGGCACAGGACCTGAGGCCAGAGAGCATCTGCCCCATGGTCACATGAGTATGTGCCCATCTCCTTCCCTGTGAGTCCCCACAGCTCTAGCCAAATGATGCAAAGAGGCTCAGACCTTGAATAACCACAGAGACAGAATCACATCATTTCAGAATTAGAAATGCCCTTAGAGGGACACCTGGGTGGCTCAGTCAGTTAAGCATCTGCCTTTGGCTCAGGTCATGATCCCAGGGTCCTGGCATCAAGTCTTGTATTAGGCAGGGAGCCTGTTTCTCCCTCTGCCTGCCACTCCCCCTGCTTGTGCCCTCTCTCTGACAAATAAATAAAATCTAAAAAAAAGAAAAAAAGAGGAAGGTCTTAGAGGTCACCTGTTGTAACCAGGGAAATTAAGAGACTTTCTGGAGGTTATAAGTAGGAGTGAGTGGCAACTTGACAGCCTCTTAAGCTCAGAGCTGCTGATTTCGCCCAATTTTGTACAGAAAGCCAAGGAAACCTTTATGCCAAAGAGTTTACCTTCATTCCCTGAGAATACTCAGACTATTATTTTGTTCAGCAAGTATTTATTCAATATCTACTATGAGCCAGGCACTACTCCTCAGCAGTAGGGACACAAGAGTGAACATAATAGGTTCCCTGATCTCGTGGAGCTGATGTCCTTGTGGAGGGGGAGGGGACAATATATAAACAGATAAGTAGAGTAGTTACTATGTCAGTGTTGGTAAGTGCTATGAAGAGAAACAACTCAGGGTAGAGGAACACAGAATCAGTGTGAGGGTGGGGTGCTCTTTTTGAAGGGGGGGAGGGAAGACTTATTTAATAAGTTGACCTTTAAGCAGAAACCTGAATGGAGAGAGGGAAGGAGACACACCATATGTTTATTTGGCAGAAAAACATTCCATGAAGAGAGATAGCAAGTGCAAAGGCCCTGAGGCAGGAGCAAAGCATGCTCAGTGTGGCTGATATGGGTAGGGTGAAAGGGAGAGTGGCAGGGGTTGAGAACAGAGTGGTAATAAGGAGCCAGATCATTCTGAGACATGGGACACCAGTGGAAATCTTTAAATAGAAGATTGAAGTATGCTTTTGCTCCTGCAAAAGCAAAGATCCTTAGGGAGTTACTAATTTGCCAGTCTTATTTATATGCTAGGTGAAAATATGACTTCTGTCCAGAACTGCTCACTTTTATTCTATGAGCAAACAGTTATTGGTGAGACATTCATATATTGTGTCCCTAAGCAGGGAATGAATGCCAAATAAGAGACAAAACAGCATAAGCAGACATAAAGGAGTGTATGGCCCTGGGCACATCAACTTACTCTCTCTAGGCCTTGTGTGGCTTCTCTGTAAAATGAAAGGACCATGGTAGATAATCATTTGACTTCTTTTCCACTCCAAAACATGTCTGAAGGTACTTTTTGTAATTGCCTGGGTGATTTTAGAGAGCAAGATGGACTAGAATTGCTCTAATATACTGACTGGCCTTGAGGTGATTAGTTAAATACAGATGAGACAGATGCCTCCCTCCACAAGTTTACATTCTCTTGGTGATGGCTAGTCTGATCCTGAGTAGGGTTACTGGATTTAGCAAGTGAAAAATACAAGGCACCCGTTTTTTAAATTCAAAAGTAACTGAGCATTCTGTATTTTATCTGGCAACCTTCCCCCAGCCTATGACATCAGTCACCATTGTCACCAGTATTCACAGAGTGACAGGACACTGACTTGCACTGTCTACCTGGGAGGGTTTTTTTTGTTTTGTTTTGTTTTGTTTTGTTTTTTGGCGCTTGCCTAGAGTTAAGAAAGAGAATAGAGTATTGTTCTTTTAAGAGTTAAGACCAATGAGCGTTGCGCTTTATGTGTGGCTTTGAACAGAAGAACACTGGTGAATAAAAAGAACATGAACAAAGGAAGGGGGAAAGAGGTCACTAAGCAGCCAAGGTAGCACCAAACTGACTCCCTAAAGCTGAGCATTTTATTTTCCAGGAGGCCCCCCCGATTTTGGGCCTGTCTACACTTTTACATAAGAAACATTCTTATGAACAAAACAAAACAAAAAAAGGAAGTAATCCTATAAGCATGGTTATTGGGTTTCCCAGTTTGAGCAGATTAGAAATGGCAAGTTAGAAGGGACATAAGTTTCTAGAGGTAAGGCACACTGGTAGAAGTAGGAGGTGAAAGCAGACAGACTAACGGAAGAAAAAGAAATTCTGAAAGCCAAACACTAGAACGTGGAAGACTGGGCTGCTAATAGAAGCCAACAACCCTCAACAGCTACATACTTTCTCTGCATTATATAGCGCATTTCATAAATGGATGTTCCTAGCAATGGCTCCGATTAAAAAAAAAAAGTGTGTTTAGTGTTGTCGTAAGACAAGAAAATATGGTCTATTTTATTTTATTTTTTTTTATTTTTTTTTTTATAAATTAATTTTTATTGGTGTTCAATTTACCAACATACAGAATAACACCCAGTGCTCATCCCGTCAAGTGTCCCCCTCCGTGCCCGTCACCCATTCACCCCCACCCCCCGCCCTCCTCCCCGTCCACCACCCCTAGTTCGTTTCCCAGAGTTAGGAGTCTTTATGTTCTGTGTCCCTTTCTGATATCTCCCACACATTTCTTCTCCCTTCCCTTATATTCCCCTTCACTATTATTCATATTCCCCAAATGAGTGAGAACATACACTGTTTGTCCTTCTCCGATTGACTTACTTCACTCAGCATAATACCCTCCAGTTCCATCCACGTTGAAGCAAATGGTGGGTATTTGTCGTTTCTAATGGCTGAGGAATATTCCATTGTATACATAAACCACATCTTCTTTATCCATTCATCTTTCGATGGACACCGAGGCTCCTTCCACAGTTTGGCTATTGTGGACATGGCTGCTAGAAACATCGGGGTGCAGGTGCCCCGGCGTTTCATTGCATCTGAATCTTCGGGGTAAATCCCTAACAGTGCAATTGCTGGGTCGTAGGGCAGGTCTATTTTTAATTCTTTGAGGAACCTCCACACAGTTTTCCAGAGTGGCTGCACCAGTTCACATTCCCACCAACAGTGTAAGAGGGTTCCCTTTTCTCCACATCCTCTCCAACATTTGTTGTTTCCTGCCTTATTAATTTTCCCCATTCTCACTGGTGTGAGGTGGTATCTCATTGTGGTTTTGATTTGTATTTCCCTGATGGCAAGTGATGCAGAGCATTTTCTCATGTGCATGTTGGCCATGTCTATGTCTTCCTCTGTGAGATTTCTCTTCATGTCTTTTGCCCATTTCATGATTGGATTGTTTGTTTCTTTGGTGTTGAGTTTAATAAGTTCTTTATAGATTTTGGAAACTAGCCCTTTATCTGATATGTTATTTGCAAATATCTTCTCCCATTCTGTAGGTTGTCTTTGAGTTTTGTTGACTGTATCCTTTGCTGTGCAAAAGCTTCTTATCTTGATGAAGTCCCAATAGTTCATTTTTGCTTTTGTTTCTTTTGTTTTCGTGGATGTATCTTGCAAGAAGTTACTGTGGCCAAGTTCAAAAAGGGTGTTGCCTGTGTTCTCCTCTAGGATTTTGATGGAGTCTTGTCTCACATTTAAATCTTTCATCCATTTTGAGTTTATCTTTGTGTATGGTGCAAGAGAGTGGTCTAGTTTCATTCTTCTGCATGTGGATGTCCAGTTTTCCCAGCACCATTTATTGAAGAGACTGTCTTTCTTCCAGTGGATCGTCTTTCCTCCTTTGTCGAATATTAGTTGACCATAAAGTTCAGGGTCCATTTCTGGATTCTCTATTCTGTTCCATTGGTCTATGTGTCTGTTTTTGTGCCAGTACCACACTGTCTTGATGACCACAGCTTTGTAGTACAACCTGAAATCTGGCATTGTGATGCCCCCAGCTATGGTTTTCTTTTTTAAAATTCAATATGGTCTATTTTAGATGGATTTTCGTCAGTGGTGAGTAAGCCTCAGCTATCTGGAAAGTTCGTGTAGGTGTTAGAGATCATTTCTGAATAATTCTAGCTAACTGAGGTGTGCTGGTTGCACTGTACATGTCAGTGTCGGTTGAAGGTGTGCATTACAAAAGGAAAATGTGAATAAGTACACGCCTACTCTTGTTAATCAGACTATTTAATACAAGCGGACCCATCACCATGAAAAACACACATTGGATGGATATAAAAATCCATCAATGGCATTTCCCTGATTCATACGAAAGGTGAGCAATCTCTTCACGTATCCTGGGAAATTCAGCTGACTTTGAGCAGCAGAAGGAATACACAGGGCCAAGCTCTCTGGGCAGAGGCTGGGTGGGTGAAAAGAAGAATAGGCACAAAAACAAGTTGTTATAAATGATTTTCCTAACTATTCAAGTGAATAGTCATGAGCTGAGGTCAGAGTTTATTGGAGCCAGTGACGCTGGGCCTACAGGAGCGCCCAACTGGAGTTGCTTTCTTTCTTTTTTTTTTTTATTAAAGATTTTATTTATTTATTCATGAGAGAGACAGAGAGAGAGAGAGAGAGAGAGAGAGAGAGGCAGAGGGAGAAGCAGGCTCCATGCAGGGAGCCTGACGTGGGACTCGATCCCTGGTCTCCAGGATCAGGCCCTGGGTCGAAGGCAGGCGCTAAACCACTGAGCCACCCGGGCTGCCCTGGAGTTGCTTTCTGTGGTAGCTCTCTGTGTTCTAAATGGATCAGCTTTCAAGTAGAAGCACCATCTGACAGGGCTCTTCTGTTCCACCTTGGGAAGCATGTCGGATCTGTGGCTATCGTGTACCTCTCAATACAATCTAAATCCTTTGGAGCTAATTGCTCTCACCAATTTCTTTTAAAAGATGTCTATAGAATTAATAAAGCTGGTCCAGGGAAGGCCAGCGCTTCAATGCGTCTGTCTCCAGGCTATAGAAGGAAAAGGGAATTTGGTTGAGATAACCAGAATTGGCATAGGATATATTGATTAACTTGGAGATAACAAATGCTGTGTTCTAAATGTTTAACATGTAATTATGAAACTTAACAGGTTTGGTCTTAAGTCTCAAAATATGGAAGGCGGCTCATGTGACTAAATATTTTGATGACCAAGCCTCCTGGGAGGTAAGATTTTTAATCTAATGTCATAGATGTTGAGTGAATGAACTTAAGAAGGTATCTATTATATCTGTATTTGTTGACTTGGGGTTTGTGAGAACAAAATAAAAGTGTGTGTGTGCGTGTGTGTGTTGGTGAGGGCTGGGGAAGAAGTGGTAAAGGTTACATTTCCCTGAGGCCTCAAAGTCATTGAGGGTCAGAAATGTGATAATGGCCACTGGCCACACGTCTCCCCTCTGGAGTCATCAAAATGGGCAAACAGTTTGATGTAAAAGTGACAGGATCCTGTGGTGCAAGAGCCAGAAGGACTTCAGGGGGCCAGCAGGACCAGTCTCATCTGATAGACGCACCGGGCAGAGCCATGACTGTCTGAGTTCTTGCGGCAGAGCTGGATCTAGAACACAGCTCTTGACAAATGATGGCTCATGGACATAACACTAGTACTCTAGGAGTCTGGGATCACTTAGCCAAAGGACAAGAAGCTCAAACAATGCAGCTGCTGCTGAGGATCTCTGCTCCATGTAGTGTTTGCTGTCATGACTAGGCTAGAAAGAGGGTCAGGCCTTGTTCCTGTCACCCCACTGCCCTCTTCCCTTTGGCCATCACTCATAGTTCACCAAGCACTCTGATGTGCGTCACCTTGGGTAGGTCCCATTTGATGCTGAGGTTGGCTAGACAAATACTGCCAGAGTATAAATGGCAAGTGGAGGCTGACAGGGGTCAGGCTGATGCCCGGCATCATCATACCTTTGTGAGTGGCAGAGATGAGCCCAGGAGCTAGGCCTCCTGAGTCCCAAGCCAATCCTGTCTCCACCTGGCACGCCTAGATACTGATCACTAAAGGGGTAGAGAAGCAGCCTCATCCTGGGCCTTGGCATTAGTGTTTGCAGAGGCAAAACAGAGAGAGTCTGCCTCTTTTCCTTTTCCTCATTTCTTCTCTTTCCTCTGCTTCTTCCCTTTCCACGTCAAAGAGCTTTACAGAGGCATAGCTGGCTACGACACACATTATTTCAAATATACAATTGGATACATTTAAACATAATTATATGCCCACGAAACCATCACCACAGTCAAGATAATGACCATATCCATTGCCAACCACGTATTCTTGTGCCTCTTTGAGACTATTCCCTCCCTGCTCCACCCTGTTCCATCCCCAGGCAACCACCAAACTGCCTTCTGTCCAATAGATTGGTTTTCATTTTCTGTTCTGTCTGGCTCCTTTTACTCAGCAGAATTATTTGGAGAGTCATCCACGTTGCCTGTAGACGGTCTCCTCTTGTACCAGCTTCTCCCTATAGTCAGTCTCCTCAGTTCCCACAAGTGTTCTTACCCCTTTGGCAGTGGCAGAGCCATCTAGTGAAAGGACTCAAAAAACTGGTTTAATCCATCCAGTCATTCCACAAGTATTTATTGAGCAACTACTATATGCCAAGCACTTTGCTAATTAACCAGGGATGCCACAAACAGGACAAATATCCAGCTCAATTATTTGAGTTGCAATAAGCATTTACTGAATAAATGAGGAAATTTGAGGAACCCCACCTGACACTGGGCACTGCAGCAGCAGGTGAAGGGGAACAATGGGTATGGATCTGGAATGGGAAGACCTGAATTCCAGCTGCCGTGCTGCAAGGTTTCAAGGAAGCAAGTTCCTTGACCTCTCTTACTGGTATAATAAGAATGGCAATCTTTGTTCTACTTCACCGGGTTGTTTCAAAGACCAAATGAGGTAATAATGTCTGTAACTACATTCTATAAACTGTAAAATGCAAAGCACAACATGAACGGGAAAGCTTATTACTGAGGGTTTAGCCAACCATGAAGGAATCCATAAGCATAATAGTTATCATTTATCGTAAGCTGACAGTTTCCGATTTTGTGCTAGATGCTTTTCAGCATTATCTGATTTTTTAAAAAGATTTTATTTATTTATTCATGAGAGACAGAGAGAGAGGCAGAGGGAGAAGCAGGCTGCATGCAGGGAGCCTGATGTAGGACTCGATCCCAGCACTCTGGGATCACACCCTGAGCCGAAGGCAGATGCTCAACCACTGAGCCACCCAGGCGTCCCACAGCATTATCTGATTTTATCCTCATGACAACCCTGCACAAGAGTGAGCATCCCTGTCTTAAGGATGAAGAATGGGGCGCCTGGGTGGTGCAGTCATTTAAACATCCAACTCTTGGTTTGGGCTCAGGTCATGATCTGAGGTCCTGAGATCTGTGTGAGACTCTCTCTCCCTCTGCCCTTCCCCACTGCACCCTTTCTTTCTCTAAAATGAATACATGAATCTAAAAAAAAAAAGATGAAGAGTAACTTATCCAAAATGATAAAGCTAGTAAATGGAAGAGGAATTTGAACTGGTTTCTGGCTCCAAAGACCCAGCCTGTGTGTGCTATGGGCTGCTCCTTGAGGACAGTGATGCTCCCCACCCCATAGGCTATTCTGATTTATCCTCTTACAGCTGAGCAGAACATTTGTTTAGCAGTAGAACACAGCTTTCATTTGAAAAGCCAAATATCCATTAAACGGGCAAGAATTTAAGCTTGTTAAAGCTGATAAATCTCGGGGTGACTTTTTTTTTTTTTGTAAACCATCTGGAAAGACGTTTTAATCATTATCAAATGTCCTAACACACTTCAGAGAACCAGACTCCTGAGTGTTGGAAAGGACATTCCTTCACTAGTTGCCCAGATCATGCCAGGCAGTTCTCGGGCTGGGGCACTCACCATTCCCCAAAAGTACCCATCTCATCCTTGGATGGTTCTATTACTAATTAATCATTCATTCACTAATTAATTCCATTTAATATATTACCTAATATATGGCAGAGCTCTTGTGTCAAGAGCTGGAGAGACAAATCTAAGTGAATTGCGGCTCTAGATCTCAAGGAACTGCACGTACTAATCCTGTCTTCCTGCACATTACAATGATCTTACCTCAGACACTGATTTACCAAAATTCAGTTCTCGACAGTTTTTCATAAATTCCTTCCTTCAATTTTTTATTTCAATATAATAATCAGATTTTATTTCAAGCTTTCCAAAGCACGAGGACTCAGTGACATCCACTTATTAAAATTAATTCCACAGTTAACCTTTCTGAAGAAAATAGCTTTTTTGTGTCTACTGCAGGCAAGCCCCTGTCCTGGGTACTGTGTGAGGGTTCAGAGAAACTAAGCCTTTCATTATGTAGAAGGACTAGATCTTTCTTTGTGCACAGCTCTATCTCTTAAGCACTGAGTAAGTAATCCTGGCAGTAGCTGCTGGACAAATGAGAGGAAGGAAAGGTCATGAGTTTGGGGAGGTCAGGGACAATGGGAACTTTGGAGCTGTGTTGGATTTGGCTAAGTGGAAGGAATCAAAAGACATTCCAAGCAAGGGGAAGGTTGTGAGCAAGAACCAGAGAAGCATGAGGCGACTTTGCTCAGTGGGTCGTGGGTAAAGGGAAGGATGAAGGTAGGCAGGGCCACTCAAATCATTCTCCAAGCTCCCAAAAGTTTAAGTGGGGAAATGATACGATAACGGTTTAGAGTTGAGTAGAGTAAGATTAAGCTCGCAGGATGGATTCTGAAATGAGTGCAATATACTGAAGATCATCCTTTGGCTTCTGAACAAGTATTTGCAGTTTATTTTTTAAATGATTTTATTGCCAAGAAACATAAACAGCACCACTGTTTTAGCATATAAATGCCTCAGAATGTGTTGAGTTCCTCCTGCTGTATTATGCAAAAGTCTCAAAAACCTAGCCCTGTCACACTGGTATCACCCCTGCTTCTGATTTAAAATACACATTCTAGACACACAGTACGGATCCAACAGATGCTTGTCCAACAAAACTGAGGAGAGCAGGTTTCTAAAGCAAAGTAGGAAAACAGATTAGGAGCCTGCCAACTGACTCCTCCTTTCTCGGAGAGGCCCGAAAAGCGCCTTCCTTGTTCTGGAAGGCGGGTCTGAATTCGAGTCCTTGTTAACTCACTGGCAGGCTAGGCCTTCAGGCAAGTCACTTGCCTTCTCTGGGGCTCAGTTTCTTCATTTGTAAAATGAGATTAAATTCCACATTCTGGGATCAGACAGTTCTGGGTTCTACCTCCTTATTCTGTGATCTCTCACAGCTCGTTCTCAGCTCCACGGACATAGTAGTATCTCACCAGGTTGTTGTAAGGATTTAAAGATCATGTGTGTGAAATGATTAGCACCCTTATCCTTAAAAAACACCCCATAAATGTTAGCTACTCCGATTTCCAGTTCTACAATTCTGATTGTAGAGTCTATAATCCATGATTCATGTTACTCGACGCTCAGTGATTTATGTCAGGGTGTGACGTGGCGCCACTGAAGAACTTAGATATATGTTCAGCTTGCAGAAGAGAAGACCCAAAGGAGACCTGAGAACAATCTTCAAGTACTTGTAAGATTGTCATGTAGAAAAGGACAAATATTTTTTTTTCTATGCTTATGTTTCTCCAAAGAATTTAACCAGGCCCAATGGGCAATGCTGAATACGTTGCTAATGATGTGAACTTGTCTGCAAAATGGACTGAATCACTTCATGGGTAGTGCGTCTGCTGTCACTGGGGGCATTCAAACAAAAGCCAGATCACTCTTTATCAATGACTCATGTAAAGAGCTGTAAGAAATGAGATCTAATAGTTCTTCCAATTCAGACTTTGTGAAAGATACTCTAAGACCTTTGTGATGGGATATTTTGGTCAACATGTAAGTTTCCAGAGATTAAGCCAGAATCGATGTGTCCAAATTTTAAGACTAATGAATGGTTCATCTGTGATAAAAATGTTTGCTTTGCTTTCACAGTTTCCACACTTGGCTGTTGGATTTTAAGCCAAAGCATCCAAGAAAAACAAGGCCTGAGAATGAGACAACTTCCTGTCACTGTTGCCTCCCTTTTTTTGTGTGTATGACAAACACTCATTACAGCAAAGTCTCCTTATGTACAATGGAATGAGGTCAGAGATAAATTTGATATTAAATTAAAAACTTATTTAAGTGGTAATTTCATAAGAATTCAAAATAAATGTTTGGTTTTGCTAAAGACTGTGCTATCATTTTCTTGGGTGCGGACATGTAATTAAGATACTGGTTCAATTTTATTGACAATTCTTACATTTGTTCTCATGCTTAACAAAGTGTGCTATGCTACCCAGTGAACTCTTATCTACGTCAGCAGAACGGAGAATATAAAATAGGGAAAAATGAAGAATTCACTTATATTTAGTCCTGTAATATGAACATTGTGTTTCTATTCCAGCAGTTTTCACAAGGTAGTTCTTAATCCCTGAGCACATTCTGTATTTAACTGTAGGGAAAGACGTTGTGGTCAGTTGTGGAGCTACACCTCAAGATTAAAAAACTAGTTCTACGACTTTGAGAGAATCATTTATGTTTCCACCATCTGGGTCCCCTTATAGGGACCTTCCACCTCTCAGATGCCCTCTAATTCTCTGAAAACCCACCGTGAGTGATTGGCTGTGGGATGGCAATAACACGGCCGTTTCTTTTGAGCGTGTCCGGATGCCCAGGCAATATTCCAAATGTACATGGTGGAAGACCACATGGCTGATGTGGACAAGGGTACCACAAATTTAAATCCCCTAGGAGGTATTTTGTGTTTCAGGAAAGGCTAACTGTATCAAGTTTCATGAAAGAAAACAATTCAAGCTGTGTTTCTGAAGGATATGCATCCCATAGTTAGCTAGCTCATTTAAAAAAGATTCCCATTTTGCCAAGGTTGGAGAGGGGGCTAACAGATAACAGGGTTCCAAAAGGAACAGACTATGGGAATTCTCAGTAGTTAATGTTTGAAATTTTGGTTGACCCTGCTGGTCTATTTTGAGGTTAGTGGTTCAATACAGAGATACAGTGAAACTTAGGATCCAATTTATTGTCACACCTACAAAAAAATCTGTCGCCTTAGTAAATAAAGCCTAGTATCAAGTCTCTATCCTTTTCTTCTTTCCTTCGATGGTGGATGTAGAGGGACTGTCAGCATCCCACCAGGACCATGGGTCATGGCTGAGTGATTGTCACTCCCCAGCCCCCCATCAGTGGCACCAGAGGGACACCATTGAGCAGCCTGGTGGCTGAATCAGGAGTTTCTCTCTTCTGACACGGTCACTTACCCCTTGGGAGACCCTCGATGGCTACTTACAATGAAATGTTTGCAGAATTTTTGGCAAAACTGTATAAATGAAACTCAAAGTACAGCGAGAAAGAATTCTGGCCACTGCACAGATTTATAAACAAGAAGGTGTTTATATTTCATTTAATATTTGACACAGAAAAGCCCACATTTAAACAGACACATTAAATCTTCAGAGCACTTTAATTATAGTTTTGGACCTTGGATATGACAAATGCTTGTATAAGATGCATCCATAATATTTTTTGTAATTTATTTTTACAAATTACACCATGATAAAACTTAATACAAATTACTCATGTGGCATATTTTCAACATTTTATAAGTTAATCCGATGCACACAACAGATTTTTGTTGTTGTTTACATAGGAAATTCTCATGATTTTAGTATTACACAAACTGAAGCTGAGACTACACTCAAAAATGAGTTTAGAAAATGGCATTACAAAAAATTGGGAGCGAGCAGTAAAAACCCACGCAGGGCTGCTGTGCAGAAGTAAATCGGGTGTTTTCACTGCCATAAGTCTTCAGTGCGGCCAAACTTAAAAACCAGTCCTCTGCAAACAAAATAAGAAAAACATCACATCTAGTTGCGTTCCGGGGGGAAAAGGAGTATGTGAGATTGGGAGAATGGTGGGAAGTTAGTGCAACAAAGAATTGATGAGTTGTATGAAAAGAAACCATGGAACGTAGAAACTGGTTAGGTGCTTCCCATGTCCTTAATTTCTGCATACTGGAGACATATGCCACTCTTGAAAAGTTAACTGATGTTTAGTATGTAACCAATGTATGTCTGATTTTATCATATTCATTCAACAAACCTTTTTTGAATATAATGTGCTAGATGCTTGGGTTATAAAAATACAGAAGATAGAGTGTCTCTGGCCTCAAGTTGCTCACAATTCACGTTCTTGGTGACACAATGTGGTAATGGCAGGGAGGAGGGGTGGCTGTGAAAGGTATATATGCCAAATGTCGAGAGCACAGAAACATATAGAATTTATTCTGCCTGGATGTGTTAGGGAAGAAGTTCCAGAGGTGGAAATATATGAAATGGGCTTTGAAGAATAAGTAGGAGTTTCAATGGGAGATTGGTAGGAATAGGAGCTAGTGTGATGAAAGAAGAGGTTTTAGGGAAAGGAAATGGTTTATCAAAAAACAAAGAGGAATAAAGACCGTGGGGCCTCAGGAAAAGCCCAAGAGACTGTGTCAGGAATATGCCCACACAGAACTTACAATCCAGGGTTTAGGTGGGGAACTGCCTACAGCTGTCCTCTAGGTTTCGACTTAAAAGAGGCAAGAAGGCAGGGCACCTGGGTGGCTCAGTCAGTTGAGTGTCTGTCTGCCTTCAGCTCAGGTCGTGATCCTCAGGCCCTGGAATCGAGCCCCAATTTGGGCTCCCTGTGCAGTGGGGAACCTGCTTCTCCCTCTCCTCCCTGCTCATGCTCTCTCACTAGCTCTCTCTCTCAAATAAATAAATAAAATCTTAAAAAAAATAGAGGGGCAAGAGGGCAATTATATGCACAAGGAGATACCAGTCTATGTCTAGGTCTAGAGCTATAGGTACACGTAAAGATATTTAACATGCAGTATTACAGGGAGGAGTCCAATATGGCTAGATTATAGCCTAAGAGACAAGGAAGATAGGGAATGGAGATGCCCAGGATTTGGTAAGCCGACTGCACAGGGCAGCTAATTGCCCACAGGGGCCTTCCATGCCTTAAATGAGTCAAGAGGGCGGGTGCCAGCCTGTATGTTCTACTGCAGGGGGCAAATGATACTCAGTTCTAGGCTTTGTGATACGGGGTTATGCAGAGATGTACCCCTATTTAAAAGGCTTAACTATTCATCCAGCTGATTGTTGCTATGCAAGGTTCAGGATGGTCACACTGAGTTTTAAAATTTGGCTCCATAAGACAGAAAATACTGTATAAGATAAAATAAAACAAAATTGTGGACAGAACTTGGCTGGATGGCCACTAGTGTTGAGCTCTTCCGTAGACAGCTCCAAGTTTTGAAAAAATTTAAGATGGGGAAATGACAGAATTAGAGCCATGTTTTAGAAAACAAGGTGACACAGGAAAACTGTATCCAAGGGAGGAACCAATCCAGGATGTGAACTGCTTAGGACGGGATGCTGGTGACTGAACAATAGAAATGGACAAAAAGAGGACAAGTTTGAGACCCTTCAGAGGCGGTTCAACAGGCTCAGATGTAGGGGGCAAGTGTGAGGGAGAAACTGAGGATGGCGGTAGACATCAGGGCACAGGCTGGTTTACATTTGTCTTCTCGTCTGTTCTCTGAGCACCAGTGTCTACTCAGGTTTAAGCCTGCAATTGTAATGATGAATTTAACACGGCTCTCCTAAGCCTTTCTAAAGATAAACAGTTGTGTCTTTTGATGAAGACAAAAATGCAACCAGGAAATTGTACCCTCTCTTGCAAGTCGGTTAATTTCTTTTTTTTTTTTTTAAGGATTTCATAAAGCTCCAAAAGGTGATTTGAACTCTAATCATCCAGTTACTATCAGGCCTCTACCTCCAGATAGCCTGGACGAGACCTACTTCAGAATACTTATCAACAGATGTAAATCGTAATCTGAAGGGTTTCTTGGGCAAAAGCCAGTCCCTCCTACACTGTCAGATGGTCACCTGAGTTACTGACATCTGTGTCTGATTTCTGAAACAGTAATTTTTCAGCTGTTGCTGAGTATTGTTCTGTTACAAATCAGAATGGTTGGCAATCTGGTACAACTATTCTAGTAACAGTGTTTATTAGTTTCAATTTGCTTATAGTATTTTCAAAAAACCTAGGTTTTAGTCTTAATAGGGACAAGAGTACCAAATGAGAAACTAACCAAACTTGTTCCAAATAAAAGGAATTTATCATATCTAATTTTAGAGAAGTCAATGGTCGGGTTTCCAAGGTTTTATGATCTATGAAAACTGCTATGCGAGCTCACCTGTCTCTCCCTTCACTGGGACAGAGACAATTTCCCCGCCAACCTTCCCCCTCAATCCTCTGTCCCCACTGCTGTGATAGAAGCATCTCAAGGTGGAATCTGCTTTACCCTTCCTCTCCTCTCTGCCAGAGTAAACAATGATAAAGAAGGCTGCTATGTGCCTCTCCCCACAACTCCATCCGCACACCCTCATGCTGCCTTCCCTTGACTGAAGCTGTGCGGCCCTGCATTCGCTATGTACCTCCAACTCTGTGGAGCCACGAGAATAGTGAGCTTTGGATGCTTGGGGGCTTTCTGTGCACGTGCCCAAGCCTCAGTACTGCAGCTCGGAAGGAAAGGAAACCCTACACATCCATGCTGTCCTCCTCATGAACATGCTACACTACCCTACAAAATCACAAATGGACTGGAATTGTACTTCATAAGCTGAGGAATGAGGTTTACTCCTGCTGTATTTTGAAATTCAGTGTCATTCTCTCGATAAAGGCGAGGGAGGGGGAGTCAAAACTCATACCGAACAACTGGCTGAGGACAACAAAAGGAGAAAACATCAACTGAATTCCCCCCAAACCTTGAATGGCATCACCCTCAACTCTGAAGCCTGAAACGTGGCCTCAGTCTGAGCCTAGTTTTTCCATGCTTGGTTTCCCACATCTAACACGGGGCTGATGACGGGGCCGCCTTCAGGGTCGTGTCAGGGGTTAGCTGAGAACATACAGGTAAAACACTAAGAATGGTGTCTTGCACGTAATAACTGCTCAGTAAACTTAGGTCATTATTATTTTCTGCATAACATGAGTGGCTTCACTCTTTGTTGTTTAAATTCTGGATTTTCTCCACTAGTTTCAGGACACACAGAATGACCCAAAGACACTGTGCACATCTAAGTTCACATCTTTTTTTTTTTTTTTAAGATTTTATTTATTTATTCATGAGAGGGAGATAGAGGCAGACACACAGGCAGAGGGAGAAGCAGGCTCCACGCAGGGCGCCCAATGCGGGACTTGATCCTGGAACTCCAGGATCACACCCTGGGCGAAAGACAGGTGCTAAACCACTGAGCCACCCAGGGATCCCCACATCTGTCTTATTTCCAAACTGATTTTATAAAACTGTGAGAATTCCTGGTGAAGGAATAAGTTTGAGTACCATTGCTGAATGTTATTAAAGGGTAACTATTAGCATTTTATGAGTGGCTCAAGTAGATATAGGCCTTTGATTTCACGTTTAGGGGTCAGTAGGAAGGGAAAGAGAAGGATAAGTCCTATAATAGACTGTCCTAGAATATAGAGCAGTTTTCTTAAACCTTTTCTGGATTAAGGACTTTGAAAATCATGAAAGCCACAGATTCTCTTCCCAGAAACAAGCAGGTACACCAGTGTGTTGCATACAGAAATGTCTGGTGCTTCCCCATCTTCAGAACCCTCGTGGAATAACGGTTAAAAATCCCTGATGCCGGGGCACCGAAGTAGCTCAGTCAGTTAAGCGTCCACTCTTGGTTTCAGCTCAGGTCAGGATCTCAGAGTCCTGGGATCAAGGTCCAAATCGGACTCTGACCTCAGGGTGGAATCTGCTTGAGATTCTCTCTCTCTCTGCCCATTACCTGCTTTCTTTAAATAAATAAATAAATAAATAATAAATTCTGAAAGAAAAAAAATCCTTGATGCAGAGGATAAAGAGAAGATTTGTGGGGGAGAGGGAGGGTGGCAAGGGTGGAAGGCTAAGAGTAGGGGACAAGGGTAGGCCGTTAGGTACAGGAAAGAATGAACATCAGAGAAGATTACTGATGAAAGTACTAAGGTATTTAGGGGTTTTCGCAATCCTTTAATTTGTCATTGAATCAGAAGGATAAAAAAATGTTAGGGCTTCTCCTCCACACCTCAGATCTCATGTATAAGTTCTAATGACAACAAGGATAGAAAGAACTATAAAATGCACTCAGAAACAAAACTTTCAGGCAGCCTGGGTGGCTCAGCGATTTGGTGCCACCTTCTGCCCAGGGCGTGATCCTGGAGACCCAGGATCGAGTCTCGCGTCAGGCTCCCTGCACGGAGTCTGCCTCTCCCTTTGTGTGTTTCTCATGAATAAATAAATAAAATCTTAAAAAAAAACCCACAAAACTTTCAAGAGAAAAGGTTTTAAGCAGGCTTTCACTGGAAGCAACTGTTAGAGATAAAGATTTAAGATGAATAGTATCAGTAACTAATCTACAGAGATCACAGTTCTTCATGAAAGGGAAGGTGGTGACAGTTTAAGAAACTCAGAATATGTTCCCAAGATTGGTTACCAACCAATCCATATATTAAAATAGCTTCCTAAGTCTCATTCTTTGTATATTATATGACACAACATGGAGGAGGGGCACTGGACAGGGTACATTAATCAATCAAATATAGTAAATAATGTAAGAGAAACAATTATAAAAAAAGAATTTGAAAAAAATAGAGTAAAGAATGCAAAAGAAACTTACCCAAAAAAGATGAAGGCATTTTGGAAAAATACAGCAATTCCAGGGTATACGATGGCTTTTTCTGTAAAAATAGTTGTAATATTTAGAGGTTTATGGTCTCAAAACACTTAGTTTCTGGTACACTATGAACAACAGTTTTCCTGTCTTACATAATTGAATTTTCCGGTAACCATGGTGGTTTTGAGTATTAAATGACATAATGCATGTGACAGAGTCCAGCACTGGTTTAGGAAGTGATGGCTCCCTTCCTTCATTTAACAAATATTTAGCGAGTGCATATTAATGTTCAGCACTGAAATGAGCCAAGAATATGGCAGTAAATAAAACAGGCAAAATTTTTTCATCTTCGTGAAACTAAATAATATAGAGAATAAATGAGGAGAAAAAAATAAATCAAGGAAAGTTAAGGGAAGTGCAGTGAATGATGACGTTTTTTACAAGTGGCTGGGAAGACCTCGTGAGAAGCGGACAGTGGCAAAAGGACAGGAAGGAAGTAAGGACAGGGACCATGCAGAAGTAGCAGAACAGCAAGCTTGCAACAAGCCTGGAGGTGGGAGCATGCTGGCACATTAGAGGAATGGCCATGTGGGAGAAACAGAAAAGCAGGACACAGATCAGAGAAGAATGAGGGGCAGGGAGTAAGAGGGTGGGGAAGATCTTATGGAACCTTCTAGTCATGGTCAGGGCTCTGATCTTCACTCTGAGGGAGATGAGAAGCCATTGGAGGGTTCTGAGCAGAAAAGTAAGATGAGCTGACTGACATATTTTAATAGGATTCCCCCGGCTGCCCAACGGAGTAGACTAGAGTGGGTAGGGGGAGAAACAGAAACCAGTGAGGAGTCTGTTTCAGGAAATAAGACAAGAAACTCTTAACAGACTGAACCAAGGTGGAAGCAATGGAGATGGTAGAAAGTGGTAGGATTCAGGGGGCACCAGGCTGGCTCAGTAAGTAGAGTGTGACTCTTGATCTCGGGGTTGTAAGCTCAAACCCCACAATAGATGTAGCACTTACTTTAAAATCTACATTTTAAAAAAGCAGTGAGTGGGGGCAGCTAGGTGGCTCAGTGATTGAGTGTCTGCCTTTGGCTCAGGTCATGATCCAGGGGTCCTATGACTGAGTCCCACATCAGGCTACCCACAGGGAGCCTGCTTCTCCCGCTGCCTATGTCTCTAGTTCTCTCTGTGTGTCTCTCATGAATAAATAAATAAAATCTTTAAAAAAAAAAAGTGGTGAGTGACTTAGTCATTTAAGCATCCGACTTTTGATTTCAGTTCAGGTCATGATCTCAGGGGCATAAGATCAAATCCCATATCAGGCTCTGTGCTGAGTGTGGAGACTGCTTAAGATTCTCTTTGCCCCTCTGCTCTTCCTCCCCAAACCTCACCCTCCACTGGTAAGCATTCTTTCTCTCTCTCTCTCTCAAAGAAAAAAAAAAGTGGTGGGATTCAGGATATATTTTCACAGCAGAATCGACAGGATTTGCTCATGGACTGAATGTAGGGTATGAGAGAAAGAAAGTATCTTTACAGGACTAATCATCCAGAGTTTTTGGCTTGAACATTTGGAGAGACCGAGTAGCCATTATTAGCTAGGATGGGCAAGACTGCCAGAGAAACGTTTTGTTCCAATTTATCCCAGACTGAAGTTGAAATCCTCACAAATTTCTACCATTGGAGCTGTCAATGAATACTCATTAATTGACAAACTCAAGCATGATAACCAAATGAATTATCAACTTTTTCTCAGAATAGTTTTAAATTAATCGGATTACCATGACAACTGGTTTGCACAGGCTTCACTACTGCAAGGCCAGATTAAAGATTCCACATTAGTGATAACTGTTACTGCTACAATGGCTCATAAAGATAGTATAGAAAGGCAATTCACAAGTTACAGATATCCTGTAATAATTCTCAAAGCATAACCTGGTCCCGAAGTTTTAGGAAACAACTAAAACTTCTGTGAGATAAACACATTTCTACAAAAAGGGGCTCTGTGTTAATAGCTACTTCTGGGAAAGGAGAATTATCAATAATTTTATTTTCTTCTTTGAGCTCTTTTATATTTTCAGTATCCTACAATGAACAACTACTATGGAATTCATATGATAAAAATGTAATATTTTTGTTTTTAAAATATGGTGGTGATAAAGATTTTGTAGCAGCAAGAGAACTACTTAGGATATCATGTAAAATGCAAAAACCTGGGTTCAAAATGGTTTATACTATGATTCCAACAACACAAAAATATAAAAGAGACCAAAGGAAATATACCAAAACATTTAAAAGCAGTACATTATTATAGTTTCTTTCTTTTCTACATTTTAGTAGAAAATTATAGGTTTTAGTAGTATTATTTATAATATTTAGTAGAAAATTATATGGTCTTAGGAATAAATTATATAAACAACAACAATACATACTTAAAATGCCTACCATTCCTGTCTGTAAGACTTACATGATCTTAATAAACATTCAGGAAACTTATGATTTTAATCCAAGAATTATATTTTCTTCAAAGAAATAAAGGGTTAAAATATGGGCTAGATTAGATCCCTGCTGGTCCAGGTGCAAAACACAGATACCATCTTTTTACTGTAGCAAAGCATAGTCAATTTTACCTGGAACAGTAAGGGGTTTTTGTATTTCTTGGGGTCCCTCAAGGTGAAATTTCAACCAGGGATCTAAGAGCAGGCCTTTTCCTGCAGGCTTGACTTTACAGTGGCCTTACATAGTAGATACACATGAAGAGTTAATTTACTTTCTATCTAAAAGGCGAGGATGTCATAGTACCAGGGAGGCTTAGCTCAATAAACTTTAGTTCTAGGATGTTAGAGCTTTGCATGGATATCATTCACCAAGTCAAAACTTGCCAAATAGCTAGAGAACATAATATATCTACTTTTTAGATTTTTGGAAGCCAAAGAGAAGCAAGGTTAGGAGCTGTGTCCCATGATTTCCAGGCTCTAGATTAGAAGAGAAAATACAGAAGAATAGTAAAAACATACCAAACAAAACAAAATACTGCTACGGTGAAGGGAGTTCCCAGGGATAAATGCTAGTAGCTAGTAACTGACTCATCTATCTGAAAAAAAGCTTTATTCAAGAATAACTTTAATGCACAACTTCAGTACTCCATTGAAGTAAAATATAAACTCTTTTCTCTCACCTTTAGCAACATAACCTCCAAAGAGAATCCACATGGATGCAATCAGAGATCCAAAGGCCAGCATGAAACCAATGAAGAGCCAAATGCGAGCACCTTAAAAGAAGTAACATTTTACCAGAATTGTTTCTCATACAGCAGTAGTCAGTTCCATTAAGTTTTCAAAAAAGAAAGCAAAAACCAAAACAGAAAATATGTGTAGTTGCCATTTAAAGTCTAAAACAAGAATGGAAGATGTGTTGAGTATCTTTCATCAGTGCACATTGGCCTTTTTCTTGTTGGCTGGTCTGTATATTCTAAGTGCCTATAATTAATTTCCTTAAATATGTATACTAAGAAAAACTCTTCATTCTATAAAAATCTCACAAAATATGTTTCAACATATTTACAGGCTCATTCTCCTTATATTCTTAGAAATTTTACTTCAAAATGGAAACTCCTCCAAGAGAACTTCCAAGCAATAACACAGGTATACTTAACAAAAAATTCATATTCAGTGGTATGTGAATCTAAACACACTACCATACTTCACTTTTAGGTAAGTCAGGTAGAGAAATAAATTCACACTTATTGTGATTGGCACTTAGGAAAGCTACATTAAAATTATATTAAGAGAGGAGGACAAATCTTAAATCACATTTATAAAATATTTATGAAGATTTGCTACAAAATAAGTAGTCCTTAGACTGCCTAGAATGGAAATGAATTTCTTTAATTAGCACAAATACATTTTAATAAAAACACTGCCTTGTTCAATAAAGCAAAACAAATAGAATGCTATTTTTAGTTTCTGATTTCATCTCAAAAGCAAAACAAAATAATATTTATGAAATAATAAGCTGATAGTCATAGCTGTGGTATTAAATACAACTGGCTCTGGCTAGCTAACAAATTTTTGTCAGAGACGTGATGGCCATATTCTAGTCTTAGCCCTAGCTATTACTGGCTTATTATTATCAACACTAACTGCTAACATTTGTATATTTGTTTATAGTTTATGATTATGGCAAATTAGTGTTTCTGTATCTCTTCTACATAAGTTCATCTACAAAGAGAATGAACCAAAGAGTCTAAAAGTATAGAATGAGAGCTGACTGCTGAAGTTTCTCCTGTTTAAAAGTCACTCGATTTTTCCTATTAATTTTTGCTACAGATTTAAGTTTATCATTTAAATTGCTTAATCAATGTCTCCTTCAATTTTTGTGTATGCTGGACTCTCAGGAAGCCGTGCCACACACATCCTGTATCTGGCCTACCTCAGGTATAAGGCAATGGAGTCCAGGGGACAGGACTTCCCTAGCTGAGAAGGAAGGGACTCGGTGACCCTAAGCTCCAAAATTCTATTATTTTATTCAATTTTGTAAGATGAAAAGAGTTCTGGAGGTTGGTTACACAGTAATGTGAATGTTTTTAACACTGCTGAACCATAGGACACTTAAAAATGATTAAGATGGTAAATTTTATATTTTGTATTTCAAAACACATACAAAATACTATGATTCTATAAACTATTTCAAAATGTCAATCCAATCAAATACAGTTGGCCAAAAAGAAAATAATTTATATGGTATAGCTTTAAGTACTACAAAGTCGATTTTGCACATGTATTCTTTATTACATACCATCCTTTGCTGTATACCACATACACTTATATCTACACATTACTGCACAGGGCTATAAACTCACAACTGTGTACACTATACTCTACAGCCAACTCTGATTAAATGTGACTTGTGTCTTATATGCCTTGAAACCTATAACCTCTGCTCTAGATATACCTCCATCCTATCTCTGATCTGAAAGAGTTAAGATAGGTGGCTCTTCTACGTGTAATTCTTACTTTTAAGGATGTAGAGTAAGATGTTGTTTACACCTATTTACCTGTTTGACCCAGGCAACCTTCACTGTAACTATCACCTCGGACTTGTCCATTTGATACTGCATTAATCCTGTATGAATAAAATAAAGCCAAGATATCACGGTCTTTGATTCCAAGAGAAAACTAGCCATGACATCAAATTACCAGATACAAGAAACTAGAGCGCCTCAAATTGAAGGTTAGGCCTCACGAGTCTTGAGAAATGGATTCACGGAAATTTAACCACGCCCCTCTGACCTGATAGCCTCTAAGCAGTGGTGATCGTTCCCAGACCAGCAGAATCATCACCTGGGAACTGATCAGAAAGGAAATTCCCCCACCCCGCTCTAGACTCATTGAGGCAGAAACTCTGGGTGTGGGGCCCAGAGATTTGAGTTTTAACAAGTCCTTCAGGTGATTCTGATGCTTGGTACCAGATAATTTTTCAAAATTATGTGACACTTGTTAAAATTTGTTAAAATTGACACTTGTGAAAATCTTGCTGAGATGGAACCATCTTTAGCTTGGTCCTACCTAGGTTTCCATTTGTACATATTGGACATACTCAACATGTAATATGCGTGGCATGACAAAACAGAAAGTCCCTAGATAATCCAAAAACTGCTTAAAATTGGCTTTGGAATGAATTGTGGTAATTCTGTACTAATGTCCAATTTTTGGAGAAATAATTATATATCAAGCAAAACAATAACTTTGCTCTGAAGACATAATTGAAGAGATTCAAGGGGTAAAATCTTGTTTTTCAATCCTTGATATTTGTTCTAAAAACAGAAAGTCTTTTGCTGACTTGCATAGAGTACCACTCTAAATTGACACAGCTTTGCTTTCTTTAGAAGTATCCCTTCAAAAATTTAAATATCATGGGGAAATGTTCCCAATATACTAAGTTAAAAAGTTATAAAACTTTATATATGTATGTGTATGTGTGTGTGTGTGTGTGTGTGTATATATCTCTCCAATTGTGTGTGTATGTGTGTGTCTGCCACTAGAATGGAATGGAAGCTTCATGAGGGCAAGGCTTCTGTCTACCTTGTTTCTCATTTTTATTTTCAGTGCCTAGCACAGGGCTTGACACACAGCCTAATAAACATGTTGACTATATGCACCCTGACTTTTTAAGTAATATATGAAGTCTTAATTTATTCATTCAAATCTAAGTTTTAGAATGATCAAAATACCATAATTATGTTCAGTGATCTCTGCATCAACCACATTATTTGGTACACAAAATAAATATGTTTTGTTTTTTTATTATTTTATTTTTTAATAAATACGTTTTAAAATAAGCTTCATATTTTTTTTAAAAAATGCAGATGTTCTTAGGTTAGTGGTTCTTTGCTCCTGTTTTTCCTTGCTGAGCCATGTGAATAGACTCTATAGCCCTCTGTCAAACAGCTATGACCCTGTCCTGTCAGCCAGTCTCCATGATCAGGCACATTCTGAAATGAATAATCTCTATTTGTTCTCTGGCATTACCAGTTCTATATATAATCTCAAACTTATAGAAAAATTGTCAAGTATAGTTCAAATAATTTTTTTTTCTGAAGCATTTGAAAGTTGCCAAACTGATGCCCCATAACCCCAGAAATGTGTATGCATTTCCTACAAACAAGACTGTTCCACAGAACTAAATACAACCATCGAAATTGGGAAGTTAACAATGATTCATTATCACAATCTACTCTTCAGATCTCAGTCAAGTTCCCCAGTTGGCCCAATAATGCTCTTAACAAAAGCATTATCTGCTCATGCAAAAGAGCAAAATTACGAGGTACATTTTATTCTCATGTCCCTTTAGTCCCCTCAGTCTTCTCTGGGTTTTATGACCTTGATCTTTTACCCTGGCCATCCTGGTCTCCTTGCCATGGAGCCTCTGTCCTTGCTGTTCCATAAGTCTGGAATGATCTTCTTTTCCATATCCCTATGGTGAACTCCTTCATCTCCCCAAATCTTTGCTATAGAAAAAGTGCCTTCTTCATGAGGCCTTCAATGACTCTATTTAAAATTTCTGTATCTCCCACCGACATCTCCTCTCCTCCTTCTTGGTAACACTTCGTGATATCTAGAATGCCATATACATAATTTATTTCTCCTTGCTTACTATCTGTCAAATTTATACATTTGAGTATAAATTCCGTAAGTGCACAGATTTTCCCCGGTTTTATTCACTACTGTATTTCCTGTGCCTAGAGCAGAGCCTGGGATAAAAAAGCCTAATGAATATTTGCTGGATAAATGAATAAACAAACACTTAGACAAAATACATGGTTTCTGACCTAAAAAGTAAAGTTGTAAACATCAGCAATAAAAGGAGAGCTGAGAGGAGCTGGGGGATGGAAGTGGGAGAGGAGAGCTGGAAGGGAGACTAGCAAAGAGAACGGTTGCTTTTCTTAATAAATCCTTCTCTGCAACCTGACTTTTAAACCATGTCCAATACATTGATGATACTGAAAATTATGAACTCTACTCAAGTGTATGGAGGACATTTTTATTTTGTGACCATCTATGTAAGTAATGTCTGATGCTTACATCAGGAAGGCTATGGTTGCTATGACACCACAGGCATGGTATGAATGGTTGAACTCTTCCATAGTGGGATAAATGACAGCTGCATCTATGATAATCCACCAGCCTGTAAAAAACTAAAACAGATATAAAGAAGCAACATTAGTGAGAAATTACAGTAATTTCTTATCTCACTAACTAAAAAGGTATCTAAGTGAAGAGATTCCTTCTAATGAATGTCAACATTTTCTTAAATGTTCTAGCAGTTTCTTGCATATAATTTGCACATGCCTTAATATCTGAGTAAATATTAGATACCCTTAAGTCTGCCAGTAATTACTATTTAATGTGAAGTTTTTTTTAAAGATTTTATTTATTCATGAGACACACACAGAGAGAGGCAGAGACATAGGCAGAGGGAGAAGCAGGCTCCCTGCAGGGAGCTGGATGTGGAACTCAATCCTAGACCCCAGGATCATAACCCAAGCGGAAGGCAGATGCTCAACCACCAAGCCACCCATGTGCCCCACATGAACTTCTTTTCTGAGCCTCTTCAATCATTATTTTATATTGTTGTAATAAAATCTGTCATCTTATTTTATGAACTAGAAGTATGTTTTATTTTCTCATGGCAGCAAAATGGTAAAAAAGTGACTCAGATTCCGACTGACAGGAGTGGCATGTTGCTGACATAAGCCTCCAGAAAGAGATTATCACTGAAAATGAAAAAAAAATTATTCAAAAAAATATGGGGAATACTTATTGCTGACAGAATTTTAGCTATTCTCTTGGTGTTGTGAAATAAGTAATGGGTCTGCAGTTCTGCTTTTCCTCTTGATGAATTACAGTGCAGTCCACAGATGGTTTTAGGTGTGACGCTAAATTCAATTTAAACACCAAATTATAATTTATCTTAATTGAATTTGGCTCTGGATGTTATCAAGGGCAAATACATAATTAAAAAACACTAAAACTGCACAAATATTATCTGACCACAAACTTAGAATAAGATATTAACCAAATTCTGGTAAGTAGATTAGAATGCTTTAAAACTAACCCCTTTGCCCTACTCCCACTCCCAACCATGACCCAGTCAGCTCTGGGAATTGCCATCTTCCAGCAATTCTTTAAAATAACTACTTTAAGCTAATCAAATTATTTTTATCAGATTATAGACTGCACCATACTCTATTAATAACATTTTTACTAGCTAGAATGAGTATTCTTCCTTTTTCTTTTTTACCCTCACCTCAATGTATTCAAGATATTTTCTTCACACACAAAAAAAGAAAAAGAAAAAAAGATATTTTCTTCACAAACTAAAATTTAAAGCTTTTTTTTTTTTTTTTGGATGTTTTTAAGTGCAGAATTTCTATGGCAGTTTTGTTTTTTCTTTTTAAGATTTTACTTTTGGGACGTCCGGGTGGCTCAGCAGTTGAGCCTCTGCCTTCGGCTCAGGGCATGATCCTGGAGTCCCAGGATCCCTGCATGGAGCCTACTTCTCCCTCTGCCTGTGTCTCTGCCTCTCTCTCTGTGTCTCTCATGAATAAATAAATAAAATCTTAAAAAAAAAAAAAAGATTTTACTTGTAAGTAATCTCTACACCCAACATGGGGCTTGAACTCACCACCCAGATCGAGAGCCCCATGCTCTACCAACAGAGCCAGTGGCACCTCTCTATGGTAGTTTTATATTTTGCCATTACTTTAGGATAAATATTTTTCATAGATTTTAAATGTCAGAGACTAAGCAAAGAGAAGATATTTAAATTTAGATTTTTTTTCTTAAAGATTTTCTTTTTAAGTAATCTCTATACCCATATGGGACTTGAATTTACAGCCCAGAGATCAAGAGTTGCATGGTCTACTGACTGAGCCAGCCAGGTGCCCCTAAACTTAGGTTTTTGTCTGTTTATTTTATTTATTTTTAAAAGATTGTATTTATTTATTCATGAGAGACAGAGAGACAGAGGCAGAGACATAGGCAGATGGAGAAGGAGGTTCCCCACAGGGAGCCCCATGTGGGACTTGATCCTGAGGCCCTGTGCCAAAGGCAGGTGCTCAACCGCTGAGCCACCCAGGTGTCCCTGTCTGTTTATTTTAAATCCACTATTTAGAACACATGATAACCTAAGAGCATAAAACACAAGTATCAGATGCCTTGAGGGATTTGCAATGTAAATAAGGAATTTATTCTATAAATTACCTCTAGGCAACACCCTTTAATGAGTTTTCGTGTTTTTTTTCTTTTGTCTTGTTTTTTAATGAGATCAAGAAGAAAGTTAAGTATGGATTATGAAAAAATGCAATCATATCTCTCCACTGGTTTTGACCTGTTTCTTCCTTTAACACCTCCTGGGGGAATCCCTGGGTGGCTCAGCGGTTTAGTGCCTGCCTTTGGCCCAGGACGTGATCCTGGAGTCCCGTGATCAAGTCCCACATCGGGCTCCCTGCATGGAGCCTGCTTCTCCCTCTGCCTGTGTCTCTGCCTCTCTCTCTCTCTGTGTGTCTTTCATGAATAAATAAATAAATAAAATCTTCAAAAAAAAAAAAAACACTTCCTGGTATTGTACTCACAAAAAAGGTATTATCCATTTAATGAAAAAACGTATAAAGCGTATTGTCTTATATACTATTTTTAACATGCATTTAAAGAAAACCAATCACTCTACTAATCAAATTTCAAGCCATAATTAATATCAACATTTAAAATGGAGTAACTCAACCCCTGTGTAAATAAAACATCAACATTTATTAAAATAAATTTAGTTGTCAGAGATAAAATAGTACATATTTTAAGACATCATACAGAATTCAAAATATATAAAAACAAACACCAAAATAATGAAGACCTAAATTATCAATGACACTTACTAGAACACCAGCAGCAACAGAGGCAATAGTGTTGCGCTTTTCCCCCCAATCAATGCATTCTGAGCATCGCAAGCCTTCTAGAAATCCAGACATTTTTTTCAGGTCACTTAAAAAAAGCAAACAAAAAAGCAACTAAATAAAGTACTTCTATTCACTTGCTTCAATTATGTTCCTAGAAAATAATGAACAGTTCAGGAATAATCTAACAAAAGTGAAATACTTTATTTTGGTTATGTATACCTCTTTGAAATATTTTAATTTTTAATAAATTTCCACATTAAAACTTTGGAAAACAAAATTTGGATTCATTTAGCTTATTTTTTTTAATTTAAAAGATGGCTTTGGTATATTTAAGAGATATGAAGGAAAGTGGGCCTCCAAATATGGAAAAATTTTCTAATGGTTACTAATTTTAATTCCAAACTGATTTATTATGTGATTTTAACATTTACAATCCAGGGGCACTAGCATGGTAGAGAGACAAAAGGCAAACTTTGGCTCTTGGTTGAAACATGCGCTCAGCAGAAAAAATATTTGTCTTAGGAATTTACACATTTTATCACAGAACATGTGTTTCTTCGCACTCAGATTGAGAAATTAAACAGTGCACTGCAGGTCTTCTACTCACATCACCTCCTTGCACTTCATTATTTTTTTTTTTCCAGAACCAACCCTGATTTCTGGTATCATTTCTATGGTAAGAACATCCTTTTCATTTTAATATCTTACCTCTGATTCTAACAGATGTCTTTCAGCCAAAACAAAGTACAAAATTGAACCTAATATTAATTCAGACCAAGGGAAAGAAAAAAAATCCAGCCAAATTACCATAGCCTTCCTAACAAATTACATAAAACATTGCTCCGAGCTTGAGCTATGCAGACCTGTCCTAAGACACATCCGGACTATCTCTATTTCAAAGTATGAAAAAAAAGCCTGAATTACGTATAACTTGCTAATTATTAAGACACACCCCAACTCCTACAGAGAGACTCAATCCGTCTTGTAGTCAGCAATCCTGATTGCCCAAAACCACGATATCCTAAAAAAAGAGCACTGAGTCCAATCGTAACATCCCTTTTAAGCATGAACACCTGTGATTATAAGCAGTTTTAAGACGAGCCCAGTTTTGAAAATTCACCTGTCATTCTCCCCGGGAGCTACCGCAGCCCAGGGCGCGATCCCCTGGGCTCACCGCCCCGCCCCCCGGCCCCGCCCCCGGCCCCGCCCCCGGCCCCGCCCCCAGCCCCGCCGAGCCCAGGCTTCCTGGTTTAGCGCCCGGCACCCCCGCTGCGCAGAGCCCGCCCCCAGACCCGGGATCCCAGGTCCCGCGTGGACTCCGGCTGCGAGGACGTGGGAACTCGCTCTGGCGCCGCCATCCCCCCGCCGCCTGAACCTGAGGGTGACACTCCCTCTCGGGAGGGGGGAGGGTGCTGTTTCTCCCTACCCTCACGGAGGGGACCGCGGTCATTTTCGGGGATCCCGGGACACCCCGGGGAGGGGCTGTCGGGCAGCCCGGCGACAGTCCGCACGCGGCCGTCCCGGAGGAAGCGGCCGGAAGGGTCCAGGGCGACACAGGCGAGCCCGCAGCCTCCCCGGAGGTGGGGACAGCGACCCTGTCAGCGCCGGCCCGGCGGGCAGCCCCCCCGCCCCCGCGCCCGCGCCGCACTTACGTCCAGCCCGGCTCGTGCAGTCGGTCCCGAGCCCGGTGTCGCGCAGCGCGGGGACGCCTGACTTTCCCCTAGTTTTTAGCGGAGAAAACAAAACAGCCACCGACCACCGGGTACCCGGATGGAGCAGCGCCGCCCCCGGGCGTCCGGCCGCGCATGCGTGGGGCGGGGCCCAGGGAGCGGGGCGGGAGAGGGAGGGGCCGGACGGAGCCACGCCCGCCGCGCCCCGGACCGCGGCTGGGGCTCCCCGCGGCGCCCCCGGGTCGCCTTTGCGCCTCAGGAGTGGTAGTCTGAGTGCACCGTCCAAGGGGGTGGTGGGGGCGGGTCCTGAGCTTCCCGAAAGGAAGGCGTCCGTCTGTCGGGCCTTTGCGTCCGTCCGTGTGAGGTGGTCAGCTTCCCAGGGCTGCGGCCGGCCCCGCCGTTCTCCCAGGCGTGGGTGGCAGGAAAAGTGCGCGGTGCAAAAAGCGGTTCTGGGCTTCCTTCCCCCCCGCTCTCAGTTTTCAAGCAATGTTTATTTTCTCAGCGCCGGGCCCCGCCCCCGCGCCGTGGCTCCGCCTCCAGAGGGGGCGGGGCCACTCGGGGGCGGGGCGGTCCCGGGTGAGCTTGCAGGGGGGCCGTGCAGTCCCGGTCCAGGCGCGCCTACCCTCTCCTGGGACGCGGCCTCTTCTGCCCCTGGGGGAAAAGGTACTGCTGACGTTCCGGGCCGGATAATTCTGCCTCCGGGGGCTTGTCCTGTGGTGCACTGTGGGGTGTTTATCTGCATCCCGGCCTCTGCCCACTGGATGCCGAGGTCACTCCCGCTCTTGTGGCCTCCAAAAATGTCCCAAGAGGCCAAATATCCCGCTCGCAGAACATCATGCAGGAGAGAGCCGCTGTTGAGGAGCTGATCTGGGTTTTGGGGAAGTGACCCTTTTCTAAAGCTGGAGGCCGTGAAGTCTTGCCTGCAGGATCGACGTGTGGCCCGGCTCGCGGGCTCCGAAGCTCTCGGTCCCTCCCGCTCCAGCGGCTCGAGTCGGGCGTCGTCCCGGGAGTCGGAACCGGCCCCGGGACCTGGAGGAGATCCAGGACCCCGCTTTGCTCACGTCAAAGATTGCATAGGTCATTTGTCGTGAAGAGGGGCGCGAGGCTCACCGTGTTTATATGTGAGGCTGCAGTATATGAGTAAACTAGGAACCAAGGTTGTGTCCTTTAATTTCTTTAATTTCCCCTAATGCTTCAAAGCTGTAGCTTTGTGGTTTGAGGGGGGGGGGCGGGTATTAGCTGATTAGTAGGCAAAACCGGACAATACAATCCATAGCCTGTTTTTAAATGGACATTGTCCTTAACCCCTCATGATTAAAGAGTAATCTTGACTGTTAAATGGCTCAGGATGGGGGAATCTACTGCAGGCAGTTCTTAGAACCATTTTAATGCTTGTTAACGATTTAGCTCTGTGCAGCCTATAACAAATCTTGCCTTCAGCTTTTAGTAAGTTAACTAATGACCAGGAGGAACATATTAACTTTTACTTTTTTGTTAACTTTTTTTTTTTGTCTCCGCGCTTTAAAAAAAAAACATTTACTGGAGTTAAGGAAGATTATCAGGTATTTTATAAACATAAGTAAGCACCTGTATGTAGCCTTTATAATAAAATACATGCTTAATTTGTCATTCTTAGCCTTTTTGGAATATGTTGTAGAATTAGGAGTGCTTGGTTTTGTTTTGTTTTGTTTTTCTTTCTACGTACAGTGAATAGAAATAGCAAAAACCAGCACAGCTGACTCTGGGAATAGCCAACCTTGACTTGTCACCTAGTCTCAGAACTGTTCTTGAAGCTAATTTTGGAACAACTATACTAAATGATGCAAAGTTCTAGATAAGCCAAATTTATCCAAAGAAAACCTTCAAAAAAACTATTGCCAGAAAGATCTGGCTAACTGTTTTTGTTTGATTTACCTTAAACTATACTTCTCAGAAAGTCTAGCTAAATATGGTTTGTTAATGTCAAAATAGCAGATTTGAAAATACAGTACAAGTTCTCATTCATGGAAATGGGAGAGTAATCAACTTTGTTTTTGGTGACCAAGAATAAGAGATCGGGAATGTCCCTGAAAGTCCTATATTCCAAGAAATCCTTCCTGGATGTAAAAAATCCTGGTTTTAGCAATGAGTCCCATAGATTGGGGGAGGGCAGGAGGTATAAAACTCATAGTATGCTTCCCCCGCCGCCGCCACCAAAAGGAAGACAACACTGTTTTTAGTGACAAATGAATAGGATGATTATCTGCCTTCAGTTGACCACTGACACTGGCCACCATGATTTGTGGTTTCACAATAATGTATCCATTGTAGCATTCTCTCAGAGCAACTTAAATTCTGGTCATGAGTGTTAACAGTCCAAGTAACTCTTGTGCTTTGGAGATAGTGCTAATTTAATTTTTAACTTTGTAATGTTGTGACCATGTTTTCTAAGAATTGAAATAATGAAAATGAGAGTGAGAACAACACCAACGCCAGCATGACCCAGACACTAATGAAAAAGAAGACTAAATGGCTTTGTTATTTTAATGACAGATGGAAGGACATATACAACTGAATTAGGGAGACAAATGATCCAAACAGAGCATACGGCACAATGTGCAGAAAAGAATATGGGATTGAGCGTGGTGGAGAAGGGGGAATGAAAACATATGGAGACTTGAGTACCATAAGTGTGGGATGAGACAAGTAAGTACTTTTGAATGAATTAAAAGTGTCTTCATCTCCCAAAAGACACCGGTGGTCAATTAAAAATAGCAGCCACAGGCACCTGGGTGGCTCAGTCATTTAAGGCTCTGAGTCGTGATTTTGGCTCAGGTCATGATTTCAGGGTGCTGAGATCGATCCCCGAGTTGGGTTCCATGCTGGGCGTGGAGCCTGCTTAAGAATATCTCTTTGTGGCATCCTCACTCCACCACTACAAACACACACGCGCACACACGTGCTCTCTGTCTCAAAAAAAGCAGCTGCTGAATTAATTTGAGCATACCACATGAATGAACATTGTGTTATCTTTTCATTCCCTTGATTGCTCTATGAAACTGGGTAAAGTTACATTTCCTGGGGATCCCTGGGTGGCTCAGTGGGTTGGCACCTGCCTTCGGCCCAGGGTGTGATCCTGGAGTCTCGGGATCGAGTCCCACGTCGGGCTCCCTACATGGAGCCTGCTTCTCCCTCTGCCTGTGTCTCTGCCTCTCTCTCTCTCTCTCTCTGTCTCTCATGAATAAACAAAAAAAATCTTATAACATAAAATAAAAATTTAAAAAAATAGTTACATTTCCTGATTCAGAGGTTGCAACTAAAATGTCCTGTGGGTAAACAAAAAAGGAAATTTTGATCACAGATCCCTTACAGTGTAGAACTGATACTGTCAGCTCTTACCAGTAATCGTGCCTTCTACTGTATATCAAGTAATGTGTTGTATCATGGCAATAAAAAAGTATTCCCCCTCGCTCTTAGGTACTTTGATTTGAAAAATGAAGTTTCAAATCATCTTCCTGATTTCTATGAAGATTTTTTTTAAAAGATTTTATTTATTTATTCATGAGAGACACACAGAGAGAGAGGCAGGCTCCATGGAGGGAGCCCGACACAGGACTCGATCCCGGGACTCCAGGATCATGCCTTGAGCCAAAGACAGGCACTCAACCACTGAACCACCCAGGCATCCCTCTATGAAGATTTTAGTGAAACCTCAGGAAACATGAAAATAACATTGATATTCTTTCCTTTTTTTTTATTGATATTCTTTCCAAATACAAACTGGACTTGGCTCACCTTTTTGCATATTCAGCAGATAGCACAGATGTAAATTTCAGCAAATTCCATTCAGTCTATAAACTTCTTACCAAAGAAAATTAAAACATCTCATCTGCCAAATGTCCTGCACACTTTGTACACCACAGACTGCTAAAAAGCGATGTGATTTGCTTTCTTGGGACATTGAGGCTTTTATAATGAAAGTTTTCTGTGCCTTCAGTTTCTTCAAAACATTCAGAAACACTTAATAAGACTTGACTTTTAGAAACAGAAGGAGATAGATGCCTTAGACATATGCCTACAAGATGGTTGTCACCGTTGCCAGACATAGAAAAGATGTCAAAATGTTGGCCTACCGTAAAATCCTCTTTTCAAAGTGTGGGAGAAGACAAATGTCCTTCTCTAATTTGGAAATACACTGAAGATGAGAGTAGAGAAAAGGATTACAGTACAATAGAAATGTATATGCCATTCTTCCAGAACTGCTTGATGATTTTTGAAGAAGCTATCAGGAGCCTAGAAAAAGACAAACTATCTGCTCCTGAGTTATTTGATGTTATGTATGAGTTGCAACAAAAACTTATACAGTAAAGAAGTGATTCATTTTTTGTAAAGAAGATTGCTTCAGAACTGAATCAAATGGATTGAATATATGGAATCAAATGTCACTGGAAAAGGGCAACCAAATTGAATAAGACTTTCTCCATTTCTTTTCTAGAATGATAACTTATTTGGGATTCAGTTTTGATTTCACAAATTCAAATTACGTCTGTGTTTGAAAACGATTTTCCCTGAGAAAGAGAGCTTTAACTTATGGTAACATCCAGTGTGTTTCAGAATATTTTTAAAAAGGTTTTATTTATTTATTCACGAGAGACAGGGAGAGAGAGAGAGGCAGAGACATAGGCAGAGGGAGAAGCAGGCTCCACGTAGGGAGCCCGACATGGAACTCGATCCCGCGTCTCCAGGGTCACGCCCTGGGCTGAAGGCAGCGCTAAACCACTGAGCCACCCAGGCTGCCCATGTTTCAGAATGTTTAAAAAATGCTGGATATTTGAGACACAGTCAACCTCTCCAATGAATTTATAGATGCAAAGGACCTGACTGACAAACAGCTGGTCTACCAAAAGAAGCCTGTAGCTCCATTCTCTTTGTGTTTTGAGCTCTCTGACTTTATTGTGTATATCTGTGTTTTGTTCAAGCTTCTTGGGTACCCTTCTATTTGTAAGAAGAAAAACCCATGATTCCCTGGGTTTCTAGACAGCAGTAAAATTCTCAGGGTCCCTATGGATCCAGCCATTTTAGAGAATCTAAGGCAAAGATTCGTTCCAAGTGGTCTAAAAACTCTTTACCCACTTCTTTCAAAAACTCCTGCTTCCAGGGCACC